CTCGAGAACATCAAGCACTGATGAAATCCTGGATCTTAGCCACCTACTATCAATAGAAGGTAACTCCTCTGGATCCAGCTTGTTGCTCTCATTGACTCTGTTTTCCACCCAGGGCCTTGGATGCGAGCTCCAGAACATGCTGGACAGCACGTGAGCGAGTCGATCATGCATGCCGGGCACTGTTGCGAACACCGTCGATAAGGGCGAGGCAATGTACTCTTTCCAGACAACATCCAGGTGCTCAAAAGTTGCAGACGGGCGAAAGGCATAGTACAATAGATTGTAATAACTGCACAATGCCAGCTGGCTGGGTTGCTTGTCGTGCTTCTTGCGGTCGAATTGGGACATGATCGGTTTGCTCAGCATCTTGAGTATAGAAGGGCTTGTTGTATCACTCGGGCCAACGACCAGAACAAATCGATTCCAACCCACAATAGCCTGGGCTTTGATTGAGGAGTCACTGCAATTGAAGCACCTCTGCAAAACCAGCACCCATTCTTTGAAATGTTCCCACTGGTCAACGTTGAACTTTTTACTTCTCAGAAGCAGTACGATCACCCCCCAGACCTGCGGTACATGTATACCTGACTCGGGGTTGTTCATCATCCGTGACATTCTCTCGCATACTTCAGTCACCATCTTTCTGCCCTTGTCTATGAACCTCCCAAGCACATCCCGGACGGTCTTTGATAGCGTTGGATTGGGGCCACATGTGATAGAGGTCTGGAAGCCGACAGAAATAGCTTTGAGGCGAGTGTCCTTCATATGATGAAGTAGTCCCGAGATTAAATGCTCCATCCACAACGCTGCATGAGAGACAAATGTCGATTTGGACTGAACGAGAACACGAGAGTAGATGCTCAACCGCTGAGACACAATTGCATTTCCATTGACACGGCTAGTCAGACTGTTCAAGACAGTGAGAAGGCGTATCACCCTCGCATTGGTCATGATCTTTGTATGGAAGTTTTGTGTAGCCAAGACAGATAAGTAATGTGTGATCACGGACTTGGGCACTTTGGCATCCTGCAGGCAATCGATCGAGTGATCGATAAGGAATGCCTTGAACTCGTCCGACAGTCGCGCAGATATCTCGTTGTGCCAAACAAGAGCAACAGCCAGTTTCAGCGCCTGGATGACAAGATTGGTGTCCAAAGGTCCTCCAGTCGTCAGGTCTCTGCTGATGTCTCGTTGTATAAAATGTGTAATTGTGCCCAACTTCGCAATAACCTCCTGCTCTCCAGGCAGCCCTTCATAAGCCCTTAGCGCCCCGAAGAATTGCATGTATGCATCGAGTCTGGAGCTGACTGTGTCGCCAGCTAATTGCTGGAGAATGGATTCGAGAAGCATGGCAAACGTGTCGGGAATGGGAGGAGCGGAGGAAGGAGAATCGGCTAGAGCGTGCGAGCTCGTCGTCTTGAGAATCGACTTTGCGGGTTTGAGTTCGTTCGACGGGGGAAGAACCTTCAGCTCAGGTCGCGATTTTGCGGTGGTATTCGTGAAAGTCGGAGGTTTGATATATTTAGTCCATGGCGAGAAATTCACGCGCTTGGAATGACGGGTCGAGGGGGCCCCGGTCGAACCATTGACAGAAAAAGGAGAGTCACGAGGCGTATGCACAATGGCCGGAGAGTCTTCCCTTCGATCTTTCTCAGACAGCATAAAAGATGATGTCCTTGGTGGAGTCGGCGGACGAGCAGAGACAGGACCGAGAATCTCCACCATATTTTTGACGATCGAATGGTTAAGAAATAGGGATCAGAAGCGGAGAGAGAAGAAAGGACATCGCGATATGGCCTGACGATGATCACGAATGGTCCATGCTCTAGTTCAAGCCTGAGAGAAACAACCTGGAGCGAGATTTGAAGCCCAGATGAAGCAGGGCTGTCGAGCGTTTGATCCTCGGGGAACCGCGCCAAGCCACGCAGCTCAAAAGGGACGCGCCTGTGGCTGAGGCACGCGTTAAGTGGCAGCGCCGCGTTTGATGCCTGAGGAGACAAGGCACTAGTATCCGGGCGGGAAGTTGAAACAAATCGAACAAACAAATGAACCATTGAAGTTAATGATGATAGAACCAGTCTAGATATTTGGGCGCGAAACATGGGTCTGGACTCGTGTCTTTGATAGGAAACGTTCTCGAAGAACTGAGAATATCCTCCTAGACAGGACGCAGAAAGATCTCCCTATATCAGTACATACGTTCTTCCATCGATACTTGTGGAGATACACATACATTTGTGAGCCTGAGTGGGGTTCTCCTGCTTTATCGCACCTCTCCGATCCTCTATTCACCGATCCATCGGCTTTAGCTTCTGGCAAGAACCATCCCGGCGGATCCAAGGCCCGAAACCTCTACATCACTTGGTCCAGGGCCTTTGAACCTTGCGCTACAGCGTGACTTATCTCACCAAAAGGAGTGTCAATATTTTGACCTTTCGGATTACCGGAACACTGAGGTTCGTGCGGTCGCAAAGGTCACTAGCTCTAATCAAGCGGGGCCCAAGTTTGGGTGGACTACCAGGGGGTGTCCTGTTCATACAAAGCCACACAGGACACAGGAATCCGGTTGCTTCTCTGCCGAGTTCAAGTTTCGAACAACATAAAAGATGGAGTTTCGCATGCTTTCAGGCGCAGGTATGTAGAAACCACCTTCATATCGATGTAGACTAACAGATTATGCTTAGCTAAACTGCAACGGGTCTCCCAGTTGGTGGAGTTGCTAAAACAAGACCAGATGAAGAAGTCGCTCACATCACAGCGTAAGTACAAAGAAAAGCATACTTATGAGCAAGCTTCTTACAACGTGGAATGCACCTTATAGAACGCGTACAAACACTGTTAGAGCTGAGGCAGCATGGCACCAATCCTGATAACGCAGGCCCGATCTATTCTAAAGAGGTACTAAGAACCAAGTACTCATAGTTTGCTTCGACTGCTGACTATTCTATAGGGAATAGAACTGTTAGCCAAGTACGGTGCTACGGGAGAAACGACTGATGTGCGGCGAGCTGCCCTACGATGCGTTGCAAATGCTCTCCTCCTTAACCCTGCTATGCGTCAGTTGTTTGTTGATACAGGCTATGGAGGAAAATTGGCGGAGTTACTCAAAGTATGCAAATCAATTACACCATCTTACACGTATTTCTATTTGCTGACACCAGGCTAGTGTGACTCTTCAGACGACGAAATGGTTATTAGTCGCATACTCTTTCTCTCCACATATGATACCACCATGGACTTCGAAATACTGATTAAGAATCATCTCTTGAGTGAAAATGTCAACTATGTAAGTGAGCCCCCTCCACCATTCCACCCCCCACTTTGTTCCTAGAGGAGTGGAACCAAACTGACTGATCAATCTATGTAGCAAATTACTCGACACGCCAAGCAATTTCCGAAGTCGGGAAAGAAGCCCTTGTCGCAGATGGACGAACTGGCGCTCATTGACACACTGAAATTGATTTTTAATGTCTCCAAAATCTATCCGGAGCTCGCGGGGAGTTTTTCGCCTTCGATCCCGCACCTCTTCAAGATCATCAGCCGAATGGATATTCCTGCAAAGCCTCTGGACGGTTTGCTCGGTTATCTTCTCAACTGCCTGTCAACCCTTGACATCGAGAACAAGAAAGGCAAAGCATGGGAAAGCAGTCCGCTTTTTCCGACATTTAATCAGAACTGCAATGTCGACAAGCTGATCAATATTCTGGACCAGGCTGTGTCTGCATATAAGGCAGATGAGTTAGAAACCAAAGCGATCCCACTCTTCCACACGCTTGTGACTATTCATGAGCTGGCACCTGATGGCGTCCGCAAGTACATGCAATGGCTTTTGTTGCCCGAAGAGAATGATAGAAGTCGTCCCATTGGACAGTCCGATACGCTTTCCTCCAAGCTTCTGAATCTCTCAACCACTCCCTATCCGAACGTAAAGACAGCTATCTCCGAGCTCATGTTCGTTCTCTCTGGAAAGGATGCGGAGAATCTGACCAGAAACATTGGCTATGGATTTGCAGCAGGATTATTGGCTTCCCGTGGCATGGAGATACCGCAGACAGCGGGCGAGGCATTCGCTACGAACCCGCAGGGATTCGATCCGGAAGTCAACCCCATAACTGGCCAGAAATGGGCTGCGGAGAAGAAGGATGAATGGCCGCCTATGACAAAGGAAGAGAAGGAGCGTGAGGCAGAGCGATTGTTTGTGCTCTTCGAGAGGTTTGTGTTCCCCCACCGATGAATATAGATGATTGCTGACAGCTTCATACAGGGCCAAGGCGAATGGAATACTCAACGTGGAGAACCCTGTCACACGTGCCCTTCACGAAGGTAGATTCGAAGAACTGCCTGATTCGGACGACAGCGACTAAGCGTTTGCTATCTGACCCCTTTGTCACTGCTGTATCATACCCTGTCAATTGAACTGGGACCCGGAGTTGTACAGGTTTGCTTCCCATTTAAGATGTCTGATCTTGCAGTCTAGCCCTCAGCATAGCACTACAGTTACAGTTCCCCCTTGTACATTATTTAGGGTAGTTCTGTCCCTCATTGCCTTGATCTGTCATCCGCAGAATCGAATGGAAAGCGAGCAGGCATAATTTGGCCACCCATTAATAAGCGACAGAATCCCAGAGTATAAGCTCCGAGCATCACATCGAAGGTGCTTGAAGCTTCCGGTAGAGTCTGGTGTAAAGGCCTATGGACCTGTAGTATGAGCAGTCTGTATTTGCATATCAGTTCTCAGGCCTTAGGAAGCACTGTTGAAATGGTGCGGATGACGTACGGATCTGGTGCGGGGCGGGGTTTTAGGCGGGCGGCGCAAAAATCTCCGCCCGCGGCAGAAAAAGAGTAGTCTGTCGCGCGGGGCACTTCGAATTCGATTTCCCAATCCACCCAACAACAACCAACCACCAGAGTTTGTTATCGGTCACCAAATAGACCTTCCATTGTATACCCACCACATTGAACATTTCTCAAAGCATACTCCCACACATACAACCGTCAAAATGTCGAAGCCTTTCGATCCCGAGACCGCGGAGAACTTGGACGATGTAAGTTCGTGCTTTGCGCCAGGAAGAAAACTCCCCTGGTGATCTCCATCCTTCGGAAACAAGATCAACAGCTAATCTTCTCGCGTTGTAGATGGAGAAGCAGTTTGCCGTCAAGGGTCCGTTTCCCTCTCACCTTACCGTTCTAGGTAGAACCGTTTATACTTACCCACTTTTACAGCCGTGGAGCACTTGATGACATACTGGGCGATCCTCGAGAAGGTCCGCGGCTCGCAGCTCCGTCTGACCAAGATGGACGATGAGATCTACGAGTCCTTCATGAAGGAGTTCCCGGACTTCGACCCCGCCGAGACGCTGAACGAGGACACGATGAAGAGCAAGGAGGGCAAGGAGAAGTGGCGCAACTGGATGAACCAGTATGAGAAGACCGTCACCGACTTCAACTTCGGAACTATGCTCCGCTCCAACCCTAAATTCGAGTACGACCAGGAGACGACTATCTTCGGTGGGTTTTCTCTTTTTACCACAGCAAGTTTGTTTGCACCGGGGGAATATGTGGGACTAATGTCGCGAAATAGCTATGCGCATGCAGTTTTACGCGATCGAGATCGCCAGGTGAGCACCATCGCGCTCTTAATTAGACAAAATCACAAGTGGAACTAACCAATCATCGATTCGTTAGAAACCGCGCTGGACTCAACGACTGGATCTACGAGAAGGCCCAGAAGGCGAGCTCCTAGATGTGTGCCACGGAGTACTGGAAAAACCTTTCCTTGGCCCTTCTAGAATCGTCGCACGAATGACTGGATCCGTTCCCCAGCTCCCAAGCCTGCATTCGCTGTCGCTTTATGGGATAGCGCAACGACTCGAGTCCATAGTCATCTCACTTGATGGCCGGTTCCTGGTCCAATGGATTGTTCGGTAACGGCCGTAAACGTTGCTTCTGATGACGTTGGCAGAGAGTCTGGTTTCCCTGCGAGAATGGCACCGGATTGGTCTCAAAATTTCCCTTCATTCTCAAAAAGCGAAACATTATGTGTATATACAATGGGTGGATCTTGTTCATTTGAAATGAAGTAATGAATAGACATTTTTTTTTGGGGGTGGCTGGTCCTCAGGGCGAGCGGAGAAACGACAATGGCAACTGTGGATCATTATCTTTTCCTTCCTCAATATAACCGCTTTGGGACATGGAGCGGGATAATAGGTTATCTCAGCCTGCCATGAATGACTCCCCTTTGTTACGCCTCACAAACAGGATGCAGCATAGGCGAGTGTTAGACTTTTTGGGTCCCTCATCTTTCGATATGGATAGATCATCTGCGAAGACCGACCTGTCTGCATTCTTAGTCAAACCATGTATTTCACAGAGTTTATCAAGGCGCCTCGTCGATAGATAAAAGAAAGGACAAAACAGTCAATCAAGGACGGCTTGCAAGGCCGAATCAAACGATGGCCGCGTTTACTCTCCGACCTCCCTCGGGCAGAAATGCGGGCTGGTTGTCTTTGTTCAGCTTCACAACTGGGAAGCATGCGCCGACTCTGATCGGAGGAGTCGTCCTCGCTCTCGTCGCCAGTCTGCCCACACCAGCTTTCTCTATATTGCTGGGCCAGATCTTCAACGAATTCACCTTGTACGGAGGCCAGGAGATCACCAATCACGACCTGAGTCGGACTACGACGAAGTATTGCGTCCGACTGGCGGTCTTGGGAGCAATCAGTTGGATTTGTAACGGATGTTACTATGTCCTGTTTGTTATCTTCGGAGAGTTGCAAGTAGCAAACGCTCGCACCGAGATCTTCGATGGCCTCTTGAAGAGGGATCAAGAATGGTTTGAGACACAGCAGGATGGAACTCGGGTGTACCTGTCAAGTCTCCAGGGGTGCGTTGCTTGATGATTCTTGTTCGGCTCGCCCTGACATGCTGACACTGAAAACTAGCCATATTGATGACCTGCAGAAGGCGACGTCGCAGGCATTCGGGCTTGCCGTGCAATACTTTTTTCGAGCGATCGTATCGTTGATCCTAGCCTTCTATACGTCCTGGAACCTGAGCTTGGTCACTTTGTCTGGGATGCCGGTGCTGTCGGCCATCATCTCATTCCTGTCCTCGAAAATGAATGCGAGCTTCGAAGCGCAGAAGGTCGAGCTTGCGAAGTCGTCGAAGATTGTGGACAGCGCTACCACCTCGATCGATGCTGTCAAGTCCTTCAATGGGCAATTCATCGAGCACCGGAGTTTTGTGGCCAGCATCGACAAAGCAGCCGTGTGCTACTTGAGGCGAGCACGCTTCACCTCTCTGCAGATCGCATTCCTGCGTATGATGTCCTTCGGTATGTTCATTCAAGGTTTCTGGTATGGCAGCTCTCTGGCGACGTCCGGCCAGCTCTCTGCAGGGGAAGTTTTAAGGACCTTCTGGGCCTGCTTGGGAGCAGCACAGTCCTTTGAATTCATCATGCCGCAGGCAGCTGTAATGAAAAAGGGCAAGATCGCTTCCCTTGCCCTGCGAAACGCGTTGAGTGGTCGAGCGGACGGTAAAGCCCCGGGGGTGTTAGACGGGGCCATATGCCCGGATGTCTGCCACGGTGACATTGAAGTGAAAAACGTGTGTAGTATATCACCACTCCCCTTTCATGTTGGGCCACTCGCTAATCCGCCGGTGCTTAAAAGCTTTCTTTCTCATACTCGTCTCAACCAGACAGACTCAGCCTGAACTCGACGAGCTTCTTCTTTCCAGCTGGAGAGACCACGTTCGTCATAGGAAAAAGTGGTTCCGGAAAAAGCACACTTGGACAGCTGCTTGCCCGCTTCTACATGCCGACATCGGGTGAGATTCTTATCGATGGACATCCCATTCAGACGTTGAGTACGAACTGGATTCGCAAAAACGTGACACTCATCGAACAACGGAGCGTGCTGTTCAACGATTCTGTGTTCATGAATATCGCATTTGGAAGCCGAGACCACAGTCGGCTCCGGAAACCTGACATTCAAGGATGCATTGATTTAGCCAGGTTAGAGGGGACTATAGAGGCCATGCCCGAAGGCATCGAAACATGTGTTGGACCCGGTGGGAGTTTTCTTAGTGGAGGTCAAAGGCAGCGGGTTGCGATCGCCAGAGCTCGACTCAGAGATACTCCTATATTGATCATGGACGAACCGACAAGTGCTCTAGATGGCACCAACCGTGTCGAAATCATGAAAGCTATTCGAGAATGGCGACGAGGCAAGACGACGATTATCATCACGCACGAGATGTCCCAGATCCTGGACCGCGACTTTGCATATATTCTCGAGCATGGCTCGGTGGTTCATGCCGGTTATAGACATGAGCTAGAGGAGAACAAACTATTCTTCCCTTCACTAAGTAAGAAAGCTATCGAGCAAGGTGAAGAAGAAGACGCAAGCGAGGCGATGAGCCGGAGCCCATCGCCTGACCCTGGGTCTTGTGATACATCGAAAGCTCGAAGTAGACATTTCTATGACCCAGTGCGAGATGCATATCTCAAGGAGATGCTGTCGACAGACAACGAGCATGCCAGCGGGGTGCGGTCCAGAAGGCAAAGCGTGTTCGGATCCATGCTTCCACTCCATGCGCAGCGGGAATCCATCGACTCAATTGCTATGGAGATGATAGAGCTCAACACGATTCAAGTCAACGGCGCAAAGGCACAGCTCAACCGAATCAGCCGTCACATTGCTGCCAACAACCACCCGCTTGATCGCATTGACGAAATGGTTGCAGATGAGCACCCCGAGCAAGTGACCCGCCTCCTGCCGCAGCAACGCAGGCCTTTACAGAAGATCTTGTTGACCATGATACCAAATTTGACGACTGGACAACGTTGGTTGCTGGCGCTCGGATCTTTCAGCACGCTTCTCCATGCGATGGCGACCCCGGTGTTCTCTTTCTGTTTGTCGCAGCTGCTGCAGACTTTCTACAACGAGAAAAGCCACGCGTCGAGGTGGTCCTTGGCCGTCCTCGGGGTATCACTGGCTGATGGTGTAGTGTCCTTTTTAATGCACTACCTTTTGGATCTATGCGGTCAGGCTTGGGTCGATAGTATACGCAAGATCGGCTTCGCTCGAACCCTCGACCAGCCCCGCAAATGGTTTGACGAAGAAGGGAACAGACCCTCCCAGCTAACAACATGCCTGAACCAAAACGGCGAGGAGATGCGCAATTTGGTTGGGCGTTTTGGTGGATATTTCCTCGTGGCTGCCACCGTTGCTCTGACTGCGATTATCTGGAGCATGGCCCTCTGCTGGAAGTTGACTCTTGTTGTTCTTGCTTGCGGTCCCGTCATTTACGCTATCACCAGAGGCTTTGAGAGAACAACTGGATTGTGGGAGAGACGATCTTCTGGAGCTAGAACCACGACATCGGAGGTCTTCATCGAGACGTTTTCAGAGATCCGCACGGTCAGAAACCTGACGCTAGAGCCGTTCTTTCACAAGAAGCACTTGAAAGCTGCGGCGGTGTGCATGACCATCGGCGTCAAAAAGGCTCTCTACACGGGATCTCTTTTCGGCCTGGTGGATTCTATGATCATGTTTGTCAGTGGTAAGTCACGAGACTGTTGAAGTATCATGCAGCTGGTGCTGACGAATCAAAGCCTTGATATTTTATTATGGGGCGGTGCTGGTATCTTCGTTAGAATTCAGCGTCGAACAACTCATGAGCGTGTTTTCCATGCTTCTATTCGGCATTGGATATGCAAGCGTGGTTCTTTCATGGAGTATGTTCTCATCATCGGCTGTTTTCCACCTGTATAGCATGCACTGACCACTCCAAAGTCCCTCAAATTGGCACGTCGCATGAGATGGCTAACCAGCTCTTGCGCCTTGCTGACCTTCCCAAGGGCAGCTCGCACGAGCACAAGGGAACCCTCAAGGTCCGCCAAGTCGCACCAGTAAAGATGACGGGGCTTAGCTTTCGTTATCCAACCCAATCCAACGCACTGGTGTTGAAAGACGTCTCCATCACCATTACGAGAAACTCATGTACAGCTATTGTTGGGCGTTCCGGATCGGGGAAGTCCACAATAACATCGCTGCTTCTCAATTTATACGATAGTCCGAAGTCAGCCCAAGGGTGGCCCACAATTGCTTTGGGGGGCGTTGACATTCATCAAGTGCACACTCCAACGCTTCGATCTCTCATCTCAATTGTGTCGCAGCAGCCTTCTATCTTTCCGGGGACGATCCAGGAGAACATAACATACGGCCTTGAAGACTCATCCCCACTGCACCAGATTTACCACGTACGCGCTGCCGCACAGGCGGCTGGGATTGACGAGTTCATTTCATCGCTGGCCCAAGGCTATCTCACAGTCATCGGAGACGGTGGCGTGGGATTGTCGGGAGGACAAGCTCAGCGGCTTGTCATCGCACGAGCTCTCATTCGAAAGCCCCAGATCCTTATCCTGGACGAGGCGACATCCAGCCTTGATCCTACTAATGCTAAGATCGTTCGCCAAACGGTGCAGCAGCTAGTCGCCGGGCAACTTGGACTTACTGTGCTCATCGTAACGCATGCAAGAGAAATGATGAAGATTGCGGACAAGATCGTCGTGCTTGAACAAGGCCGTGTGGTTGAAGACGGGTCATTCGAGGAGCTCGCGCGCCGGGATGGCGGGAAACTGAAGGCTTTGATAGAGGACCCCTGCGAGGACGATGAGACCGATGCATACAACAGAGGGGTTGTTGCGGGCTAAAGGCTGCATCGCTGGAGGTGAGGCCTGCGATGACGAAGGAACTGCGCAGTTGTCGACTCTCTCTTTCCCGGAGACTTCCGCTTTGACCGTCATGAGAAGTCACCAAGCTAATATGTACATACTTGTCGCTTCTTCCATCCTCTTTCTTCCAATTAAGATCTTTCTTGATCCAGAGGAGGTATAAGTCTGTAGCCAGACCAAGACCTCTAGAGGGCTGGGGTGGCCGGTAAGACTGGGTTGACGTTGTCGACACCTACCTTACTTAGCTTCTCAACCCAGCAGGTAAACCAGCTGCAGTGTCGGGCGTACAGCGGTGAGGTATAGCTTGTGGGGTATGGCTTGAAACAATCGCGGGGAGGGCTACTCCATACATGACCTGCAATTGGTGGTGACTGCACGATAGGAGGACCTCGTTCACTCAAGCGGGTAGATCTCTATGTCATAGGCTAGTAGACGCACACATGTACTATGAGCGAGTAGTAGAAAGGAGAGTATTCCGTAAGATGGTAATTTGTGTGCTCTTGGGTGTTGACTTCGAGATTCTCCGAGAGTGCAGTGTGCAGTGGCCACCCACCACTTCTGGTAGCAGTAGAGGCCTAGTGGCTTTCCGTAGGTCCCAGGTTAGCTGTTGTGTCAAAAGGTCATAAATTACTGTAGTTAGTCGCGCGTCACATTATTCCAATGATTAAAAACGACCGAAGTTGAGGGAGCCCAGCTCGTGCACGGGAATGGCGTTCCATGGTCACAGCCTCGATGAACCAACCATCAGCCGTTGGCCTTCCAGAAGCGTGGTTGCACCAACTGGACACGACATTCCTCGTATTGGATGGATGAGGGGAAGGGGAAGGGATCGGAGGAGCTTATCGATAGGGAAAAAAGATGACAAGATCTAAAAATGGCATCGCGCCTAAAAGTGGTCCGGGCAGAACAGCCGGACGGAGGAGGTACTGGCTGTAATGGAATTTCGGTCGGTCGTTTCACCATGAGATTGACTTTAATTACTCGAAGGGGAGGAAATGGAGATCATTAATTTAGAAAGTCTGAGGAAGATATGATGAGTATACCCTGAGTATATTTTCTCATTTGGAGGGTGGGTTGAACTAATTTGATTATCAAGGAAGAAATGGATACGAAGGGGAGGAGAGGAGAGGAGAGGGGAAAGCCTTAGTGGAACTTGGAAAGGCCAGCCACTCAACTCCAATCCCGTGTGTCTCGCAGGCCCAGCCACTCACTCTCTCTTCCTACAGCACTCACCTCTAATCTGCACTCGGTGGTGCAGTGGTGTGTCTGTCTGTCTTGTCTTGGACAGATAATCAATCGTCATTCTTTGATACCAGCTAGCCGCTGGTTTGTTCTAGCTACCTAGGTAGACTGCCTCTACCTAAGCTGTCTTCACTCGTTCTCCGACTTTCTCTTTTTCCCTTTCCCTATTTCTCTTTCTTTCCTTCTTTCCCCTCTTTTTTCCCTCCTCACTCTTGTGTAAGCTGTATGGAGGTCACGGATATGCTGACAAGCCATCTCATGTGTATCTTACTCCAACCATCTCTACTATTCCTGAACACCCCTCTAATCTTCTTTTGATCCTTCCGGTATACTTTTTGGATTTCTCGCCTTTTCCATCTGAACACGCATTGGCACCTATCAGCAGCTTCCGCTCCCCGTCTGTATCACCCTATATACAGCCTCACCACATCCGCCAGTTCCGCCACTTTCCCGCTCTAGGCTACCATATCTTTCGAGTTTTCCTCCCGAACCAGACTTGAATCGAATCGCTTATCATCTCTTTCGCACTTCTCGCACTTCTTGTACCTCTGTATGTTTTGAGGCTGAGGCCTTGGGCCTTTTTCTGCGTCGCCCAAGCTTGTCAGCATGTACATTCCAGACGACCTCCGGCATTTTGGCGCCCGTCAGAACGGGCCGGCCAGCGACCCAAACACGGAGAAGAGCAGCGACAATGGCGGGGACCACACTACGAACAAGAAGAACAATATCTTCATTATTGTAAGGCCACTCAATCCTTCCATTCTTTCTCTCCCTTTCATGAACATCACCCGAATTGCCTTGGTGCTGACAGTACATAATCACAATTGCAGTGTGCTGCCTGTATCATTTTCGTCCTGTCATTCATCTTGATGCTCTATTTTGTACTGCGGACCCTTCGCCGAATGGAATGCCGCCCGAAATATATACCCGGAAAGTTCCTTAAGGATCGATGGAATCGATGGAACGTGGGTGTCACGTATGGACAGGTGCCGGATGGATCTTCGACCAACAATTCCGGAAACGCCTCGACTGAAGCACCCCCAGAAGGAGGCTCTGAAATGCACACCACCAATACTGCGGTTCGACGAGAAACTTCAATCCGGTCTATTATCACCCTTCCTCCATATTCTGCGAGTCCCAAACCAACAGAACAGGTCATTGCTCGGGAGGGCGAACGAGAGGGTATGGATGTCGTGGTCGAATTCCCTGAAACTGCCGAGGAGGAGGAAGAGCGCAGAGAAAACTTGATGGAGTCCTTGTACCAGGTTCGCTTGCAACGAAGACAGGAGCTAGCCGAACGGGAGCAGCGGCGACAGGAGCGTCGTGAGGCTCGTGCTCAGGGAGATCATGCCCGCCTTGAACAGCTACGAATGCAGAGTCGGGTGCGCGCACAGAGTCGATCATCTGCCAACGCTAGTAATTCGACCCTTAGCGCGACGCTTGCAGAAAGTCAGGGTCGTGGTCGCGACAGGCGTATTTCCAGTGTTTCATATGCCGAGGTAGGATACGTCCGTCACGACGGATCGCGTGTTCGAGCCTCGTCACCCGATTCAGATCGTCGACCTCTCCTCACAGATGCTACTGGCATGGGCTCCGAAGCTGCCGATCGCTCCTCGGGCTCGATTCTCACCGGCATTCACTCTCGAGGTGAATCATATTCGTCCTTCCAGTCCGGCGCCACCACCATTTCCGAAGCCGACACTCTGACTCAGGTTCGGTCTCACGCGACTTCTACTCACTCTCTTGGGCAGCCTATTCCAGGCCCGGAAGATGGTGGTGACGTCGGCGCCCTCCACATCCCGCCTCCGGATTACGAAGACCTCGACTGGGGAGAGGCTCCTCCTTATCAAAGTCCAATCGCTGAACGAGGCGAACATGCGCCTCAGCTGCGGGAATTGACTCCCTTACCTACAATCCATATCGATGCTGCCAGCCCCATCAGCAATACTCCCACAACACCTACCAATCCTTTGCGAGCAGAAGAGGTTCCGACAAGACATGCACCCGTGGTAGAAAGTCCTGATGTGGACCGTCCACTTGTTGAGCTATTGATGGAGGGTCACTCGGTCACGGATGGCTCGCATACTCGCCCAGCCTCAAACACATAAATGCCCTGTCGACCGCCCGCTGCGTGCCGATAAAGTCTGCATATATTGGAACTGCTAAACCTGATCGTGCCTTGTGACGACTATGACCATTTACGACTTCTAGATTCTTGGCATTTATTCTTTTAATCTCCTTTGGGCACACTGGTTTGTCCTCATCCTCTGCACTTTTGTTAGCCAGCACGGCGTTAAGCTTAGGTGACACCATATTGTTGATTGACTTGTTTCGACACATTGCCTTTGTACATTTACAATCCGGAAGGATAGGAAGCGCTGGCCTTAAGCACCAGGGGCGCGCTTTGCATTTCACATTGTCTGCACATATTACAGGAGGGTGATCTGGGCGGAGTCTTATATTATATTTGTTATTTGTTTGAATATTCAAAACAAATGAACGTGATCACAATAGCAGTGCCTTGTGTTATTCAAAACTACCAGAATTGCCAATAGCGGAAGAAATCGCGGGGAGAGACCATGGCTCGTTGCTGGCCCGGCCGCACCTCGTGGCCGTGGAATTCAAGGCGGTCAGCAGCTCCACTCGAACAAAGTAAACAAACCAAACTGCCGTCCGCCCGTTCCACCCCGAAGCAAGTCAACCCAACCCCCTCGTTTCTTAATTTGTTGTGTCGCATCCACCTTTTACACCTTATGTTGCAGTCAAAAGTGATTACCGTTGTACTCTCATTGTGAGGCGAAAGCACCGTATTTTCACCATCTCAACCCCTCAATTGGAAGAACCTAGGGGTCTTGTCTTTTGTTGTTGCTTCCTGTTTCAGAGCACTAGTGGCTCGCGCTGGCCCGACGCGCTGCCCTCTAAACAATCCCGCACTCATATCACCTAGCCTATACGGTCCAGGTAACAACTATCCTACATCCCCCCTAACCTAGCCCTCCGCACACAATTGTAGGTGAGAGTCAGGTGCTAACGCGACTGCATCGATCACTAGTGTCAACAACGGACTGGATCTCAACCAGGCGCGTAGCTCATAGACGATATGTCGCGCGAAGCCACAACCAACAGCTTCGCGTCCTTTGGCTCAGACTTTGATCCCGAGCACGAAGCTCTCGAGTCCACGAAGGACATCGGAAGAAGCCCACGACTCCCCAACATGCATAGCAGTGCACGGAACCGCCGCGAAATCCAGCAGGATGAAGAGCCAGATTACGCCTTTAACACCTCAACATTTGAGCAATACCTCCCCAACTTTTCCCCAGTCGGCACATCAGAAGAGGAGATGGACCATGACGATGACGATAGCATTTCCATCGAAGCCGGAAGAGGACCCGTAAAGCCTGCACGCCGTTTAGATGACTCAAGAAACTCCTCCATGAGCATCGAGAATAGCATTCGTTCGTCGTCACCTGCTATTAGACTCGACTACCCTACATCGAACACACCACAGAAGTCTGCTCTGCGCAGCGCACCCAAAAGGGCTGCGAGCGAGAGTCTTCGTAAGGATGCCCAGATTCGACGCGCCAGCCAAGCACAAAAGGAGAACCTCGATCCCAAGGCGACCCGAAAAGACCAGCGCCGTACTCTCTCAGACTTTCATGCAAAGGTCCGTGACTCCTACGAAGGATCCTTGCTTGAAGACGAACGGCCGTCGGCAGTGGCCAACAACACGCGTCCGACGCGTTTCGGAAATCCTAACCTCTCCCACCAGATTGCGGACGCTGTTGAGAAGGCTTCGCAGGAGGCCTATGCTCGCGAGATGCGTCGTGGCAAGGCTGCGGCGAGCTCTCGCAGCATGCATAATACGGCTGGCGACACAGCCACCCAACAATCATTCCTCCTACCCGACCTACCGAACTTGTCGGAGCTAGTCTCAGGGGTGTATGAAGATGGTACCCCGGTATATGCACGCCAAAATCGCCCGCGCACTACGCGTTTTGTCTCTCCCCTGCACGATGCCATGGACGTATCTCTAACGCGCGAACATATACCGCTCGATGCGGTCCCTATTCCGGAAGACGAGAAAGCACTCTTTGTTTCGTTGAGACTACTTCAGGACAAGGTGGCTGAGCTTGAGAGAGCCAAGTTCGATGCTGAGAAAAGAGTTGAAGAAATGAGACAGGAGAATGCGTTATTGAAGACAAGCAAGTCTCGTGGAAAAGAGAAGGTTTCTCGCACCAGATCGTATGAGTCTGAGGAAGAAGAGTATAGAAAGGAGCGCTTTGCGCGTGAGAATCAAAGTAAGTCGGATCAACTCACCTTTAGAGACGTAGCTGACAATCGTTCAGAATTAGATGCAGCGAATCTCGCTCTACAAAACAAGCTGGACATGATCGAGAGGAAGGCCGAGATTCAAGAGACGGCCCTCAAACGGTTGAACCGGGAGCGAGACATGGCGGTTTCGCAACTGGGTGTGTCCTATCTTGAGTCACAGGACCTTAAAAATGAGGTTGAAGCTCTTCGTCAAGAGAACGCCGAGCTTAAATCGCAATTGGTGAAGCTCGCATCCGGTTCCAAGGATCAAGACGAGACTTACGAGTCCGAAGAATCATCTGCAACCGAAATAAGCGACGAAGATAGTCAGTTTGATACACAGACGAGCAGAAACATCAGCAGAAGCACTAAAGACCTTACCTCGAAGAGCTCGCGCTCCCGATCCAAGGCCGGTCGTCAGGGGCAGTTAAACACGAAGATCTCTACCCAGGTCGACAAGGAAATAGCTCGCTTAGAAAGAGAACGTGCTGAAGAGGCTCTGTTCTCGCTTGACCTTTCGCAATCAAAAGAGAAATCTAAGTCAAGAGCAGAGAAATCCCGAAGCAAGGCCAGGACTAGCGATGCCGCGTCCAAGAAGCAATCTAACACCGGCAAGCAACGCGTGAAGAGGGTGGTTGTGGAGGAGATCGATGTTAGTGGGCCTGTTGACTCAACTGGTGAGGTCACAAACAATACCAAAAAGTCTTCTGTGGCGGAACAAGACTTGACGCTTCTGAGCTTCGTCGACGTAAGTTCTCCCTCCTATCTGCTGTGTCTGCTTGTAACTTAACCAGAAATTCCAGGAACGTGAAATCGCTCAGCTACGGAAGACCTTGGAGGAGGAACGCCTGGCTCGCAAGAAGCGCCAAGCGACCGCTACCAAGGAGGTGACTGGCAATGAGACTGGGAATACCACCCGCCAGAGCGTGGCAAAGCCCGGACTACCTAGAAAATCATCCCTTAAAGAAAGCAAGGGGCTGCCAGCAAGACCCGCATCAGCAATGGGCGACTTGACCGCCACATCCAAAGCTAGCATAGCTGAAGGAGATAGCAACCTCTCAGTGCCTGTTGAACGTCCCAGACGTCACTCAGACCATGCTGCGACCACTGCTACTCCAAGGCGGCGACGTCGGATGGCCGAGGAGATGACCTCCGCCTTCATCCTACCCGATATCACTCTCAATCCTGCCAGCCTTGTCGATAACCTGACTAAGCTGCCTGAACCCACGCAGCGTGCGCTTGACAATGCCACCCAGCATAATGGCAAGAATTGTACCGTCTGTAAGCGTGTCATGCCTGCTGACTCTTGCGACCACTCGGTCGAGACGGTGAAAGTCCCCAAGCCTGTTCCTGTCTCGGAGCGTATGCCTGCGCCTTCAATTCTCAATGAAGATCATACTATGCGGCCTGCGCAGTCCCCAGAGATTGCCCTAGCGACTGTGCTCAAAGCCTTGGAAGATGAACTGGCACACCTGAAGATACAGCTAGTTGCGTACCAAGGTGCTTACAACAAGCTAGATGCTTCGCTAAGCAAGAGACAACGAAAGTCGCTTGGTGAGAAGATTGAGAAGTTGCTGAAAGACATCGACATGAAAGCTGATCAGATCTACGCCTTGTACGATGTACTCGAGGGACAAAAGCAGGACGGTCGTGAGATGACCGAGCAAGAAATGGAAGTGACTCTTCAATCTATTGGGATTGACACAGGTGCCGGCCCGACAGGCGATTTGACCGCCGCATCCATCAAGTCCTCCCACAAGGCCCCTGAAACGGAATTTGACGATGATGAACTGCCCTGGGAAGGATTTGAGAGCACAATGGAACTCACGGGCCGAAGTGGTGTAAACCATCGCAACTAATCTCAACTACATGATTCCGCTTGCTTTGGGCTTGTGCTCTCTTTCCCTTTCGTGCGAGTTCCGCATTTTTTCGATCCCTCCTTTCCCTCCTTCATCGCATGCCGCTTGCGCACAGTCACTAATTGAGCTGATCCGGGCCCTGACAAAAGACTCGGCGTCTAAGCCCAGAACTTCCAGGAGTCTTGGTGTCTTCGGCAGCTTTTGGACACTTCTGCGTCATGATTTAGAGCTTGCAGTAAAGGGATCTTATCATTTGTTTACAGTTCCGCGGAACTCTCTTTCACTTCTACATGCCGGGAAGGCCTCTAGGGTTGGATTAGGCGTTGCATTGTGTCGGTTGCTTGGTGAATCATTAGCATTGTTTGAATGGATTATTACAAGTGTTTCTGTGGTGGGCTTGGGTTGGATAATCATTGCGTTCCTGTGGTCTCGTGCCTGCTAGCTATACAGAGACCAAAAAGTAATAGTGTCGGCAATAGCGTGCCGAAGAAGCGGTCGGAAATACCCAAAGAGGCACTAGTGGCGATGACAAGCTTTAGGCCGAAGACGGCTCATTCTGTCTATTATTCTTTCTTCGCGCCCACATCACTACTGGAGTTTTGATTTCTTTCCTTGCCACTTACTCTCTTGAATGTAGCCGAGTGTCTTTTCGTTTGACCACGCAAGCCTACCGTAACAAAACATTTTCTCTCCTCTGATGACTTCACCGCAGCTACATCATGATCACCACAACAGTTCCAGCGGCGATGTAGATGTTCCCACGGATGCGACCGAAGTCAGCAAGGCTGCTTATCTCCCCCGAGATCCCTTCTACGAGGGAAGCGAATCTCTGGGTCCAGCTTCTCCTTCTGATCACCACACCTTGGAAGACGAAGCAAGCTACCACACCGCTATCCACGATGACAGTTCTGTGCAGACTCGGATCCTTGCACCCCCGGCAGAAATCATCCCTGCCCGACGCTTATCTATAGACATCGCCAATAGCAGTGATGGCGACAGCAGCGACGATGCCAGTGATGACGACGACAGCGAAGGGCCTACAGGCCCTTCGAGCGAAAAGCCTGTGACATGGGCCTCGCTGCCCAACAAAGGTCAACTTGCGATCTTGACTTTCGCGCGACTGTCGGAACCTCTGACGCAAACCTCCCTCCAGGCGTACATGTTCTACCAGCTCAAATCCTTTGACCCTTCCCTGCCAGACTCGACCATCTCTGCTCAGGCGGGTGTGCTGCAGGGCAGTTTCACCGCCGCGCAGTTCCTTACGGCAGTCTGGTGGGGTCGCCTGGCTGATGCGGACTGGATGGGACGGAAGAGAGTGCTTCTGATCGGGCTCTTCGGGACATGCATTTCATGTCTGGGTTTCGGGTTTTCGCGCTCATTCGCGGCCGCTGTGGTGTTCCGCACGCTCGGAGGATGTCTGAACAGCAACGTCGGGGTGATGCGGACCATGATTTCTGAGATTATTGAAGAGAAGAAGTAAGTTGGCGTGGTAAACGGCGCTTGCGGGCGGGCGCGCGTCGTTTCCTTATTTGGACAGAAGGGTGGCTTGAGCTAACGTGCTTAGATATCAATCTCGCGCCTTTCTCCTACTTCCAATGTGCTTCAATATCGGGGTGATCATCGGTCCGGTCCTGGGTGGTGCACTGGCGGATCCGCTGAATAGCTACCCTGAATTCTTCGGCCCCGGGACATTCTTTGGTGGTACCGACGGAGTTCATTGGATGAGACGCTGGCCATATGCGCTGCCCAACTTGCTCAGTGCGATCTATATCTTTGCCTCGTTCTGGGCTGTGTTCTTGGGTCTCAATGAGACCCATGAAATTGCGCGCTACCGAGACGACTGGGGTCGGAAGCTGGGACGCATTATTACGAAGTTCTTTTCGCGCCGCCGAAGTCGCTATTATCGTCGGCTCAGAACCCATCCGGACAATGAATCTATTTACATTGATGGCAGCGTGACCAGCATGTCCGCTCCTCCCAGCCCTATTCGTTCCCGTGCTCGGCCGCGCCCCAAACGCCCGAGCTTCTGGCAGATCTGGACTCCAAACGTTCTTTTGACTTTGCTGGTTCAATTCCTTCTGGCTTTCCATACCAGCGCATTCAATTCGATGACGTTCACTTTCCTGCCAACTCCACGAGCCCCAGAGGGTAATCGGAAGGGCTTCTTCCGTTTTAGTGGTGGTTTGGGATTGCCGTCCTCTCGAGTCGGCATGGCAACGGCTATCATTGGGATCATTGGTCTGCCGTTGCAGATCTTCATCTACCCCCGCGTGCAAGGTTACCTGGGAACTCTGACCTCCTTCCGAACCTTTCTACCGTTTTCACCACTGGCATATGCGTTGATGCCTTTCCTTCTCGTGCTTCCACGGGTGGCCTGGATGGTTTGGCCTGCGTTCACGCTTGTTGTGGGTCTACAAGTTGTTTCGAGGACGTTCGCTCTTCCCGCGGCTGTCATCCTTGTGAACAACTGCGTCACCGACGCCTCTGTCCTTGGAACAATTCACGGGGTCGCGCAGAGTATCTCCAGCGGGGCCCGCACCTTGGGCCCCATGATTGGAGGCTGGGGCTTAGGACTGGGACTGGAGCATAACTTTGTCGGCGGGATTTGGTGGGCCCTGGCCCTAGAGGCATTGATCGGCTGGTTCGCCCTGTTCATGATCTACGAGGGTAAAGGGATTGAGAGGAAGAAGGTGTTAGAGGAAGAAGAGGAGGAGCAGGATGGATTTGATGAACGTCGCTAAATACGGTTCGCCTTACTAGATGGACTAGAACTATTAGACTATATATGTGCATGGGATACATACACGATTACTACGCGACATGGGCATTATGGGTTCATTGATGAGAGTTAGCACGAGTCTTATGAGAAATGTCCTGAGATGATTGAATGAAACTTATTCATTGATGAATTGTGGCATATTTGTTTCATAGCTGTCATACATTTTGTTATTTTAAAGGATAGAGGGAACTCCGAACCCTTTAAGGTTACCACCAAAAACGCCGTCTTAATCGGGATCTTCTTCCGCCCGCGTCCTCCCAAGCCCAGTCCATCAATCCGCCCCCATCTCCACTTTCAAACCCGACTGACCAGCAGCGACCAGCAGCCTCAACGAGCAAGCGTCGCAGGCGTAATGAACGCCTTGATTGCCTGCGCAACATTCCCCTCGTGGGCCTTCAACAGCTCCGTGGCCCTGAGCTTATTCAAATCCAACTGATCCACCTGCAAGGCACCGAGCGTTTGACACACATTAGCCCAGCGCGCCTTATTCAACGGGTTCCAATATCCAAGAGCATCCCCAAAAGATAGCGGGCTTGAGGACTGCAGAGCAGAATACCTACCAGAAGATTGACATCGTCGGTGCTGACCTTGACGGCCTTCTTCTTCACCAGCTCCCCTCCCTCCTTACTCTGCTGCGTCGTCCCCGCCCGCTTCTTGCCCGCAGGGTGACCGGCTGCAATCTCGAGACGGCTCATGGCCTTGCCCAGGGCCTCCTGGTCAGCGGACGAGGGTAGCCTGGTCGGGGAGTCGGTGGCGGCGATCTCGTTGGTATGGAGGGAGGAGAGGGCGGCGGCGGCTTTGCGGTCCTCGGCGTTGGCGGGGAGCGGTTGCTCGGCGGCGTCGGGGTCGGCGTGCGCTGAGGGGATGGAGTCGGACATGATTGATTGGTTGGCTAGTTAGTTGGGTTACTTCTTGTTGTTTATTAAGATTGGTGTATAATCGAGTAATGGTTGATCCTCAGATACTTAGTGGTTATACAAGAGCACCTGTTGCATGACGTACAGTACCGAGAGACAAACAGACAAACAGACAAACAGACAAACAGACCATCATTCCGGCAGAACAATCAACCTAACAGTCCGGATCTAAACCACTAACAGCCTAGTGCCGGGGAATAATGACTCAGGCCGGGAATAGCCGTGCGTTCCTCATCTTCCAGAAAGTAGCATGAATCATCCCATTTCAGGCCTGGTGCAACTTCGACTTGTTCTTGCTTTCTTTTTTTTTTCCTCCCCATTCCTCTCTCTCTCTACCCCTTAATTCCCTTTCTTCGTCTCTCTACTCCTCAATCAGTCAGATTCGAAAGAGAATCCCCATTCTTTCCCCCCGTTTCTTCTCATACGAGTTGGTGGTTCCCGTACTCATCGAAACGTCACAAAGAAGGGTCCAATCCACTCCGGAATTATCTCCACACTTTTTTTCTGGCCTTGTCCGCTGTCATTCCAAGTTCTTTTAGCCGTCGATCATTGCTAGAATCATACCTATCATACCTGCGTACAGCGTCTTCCTCCCTTCTTCTTCTCGACCTCCTCACAGCTTCCCAACTACCCCGCCAGATCTATATATCTCAAGATCCAAAATCATGGAGACCTGGTCTCCCTCGTGTATGTTCTGTCTCTGACAGCGAGAGCAACATTCCAAATGTCCAGTTTACAAGAAAAGTTGCTAACACTGTCCGGCTCTTAGCGTGGACGTCCAAGCCCGCCAAACAATGCGTTGCGTACGAGGACACAAAGGCGACTGAGGCAGCTCTCGAGAAGCTACGGAAACTTCCGCCGTTGGTCACCACACAAGAGGTGTGTTTTTCTGTGTAACTGATGCCTTGTACCGGCAATTTTGAGGTCTTCTCTGTGCATGTGTTTAACTGATCGCAAATTTTGGCATAGGTTGCGAACCTAAAGAAGAGCTTGCGCAATGTCGCCCTGGGGAAGGCATTTGTGCTCCAGGGAGGTGGGTTTCTAACTTTGTTCCTTGACGTGAAACAGAATACTAACAGTAATTAGGTGACTGCGCCGAGCTGTTTGATTACTGTAACCAGGAGATGATTGAGGCGAAAGTGAAGCTGCTTCTGCAGATGAGTCTGGTATTGATTTGGGGTAAGTCGGTTAGATCCCCGCCAATGGAATGGTGATGATGCTCATGCATGTCTTCCAGGAGCGAATAAGCCTGTGGTGCGCATTGCTCGGATTGCAGGGCAGTTTGCAAAGTACGTTTGTCTCACGTCCTGTCCTGCCAACCGTAGGTCTAATGCACTAATTCGTGAGCCATCAGGCCTCGCTCCAGCCCCATGGAAACGATCAACGGGGTCGAGATGCCCTCCTTCCGAGGCGACAACATCAATGGCTTCGAAGCGACGCCCGAATCGCGCAAACCGGACCCCTCGCGCTTGGTGTCGGCGTACTTCCACTCCGCCGCGACGCTGAACTACTTGCGCGCCTCCCTCTCCTCCGGCCTCGCGGACCTGCACTCCCCGCTTGACTGGGGTCTGGGCCATGTCATCACCCCCGCCATCAAGGAGAAATACGAGCGCATCGTGTCGCGGGTCAAGGACGCCCTTCGCTTCATGCAGACTGTCGGCATCGACACCGACCGCGGCGTCGAGACCGTCGACGTTTACACCAGCCACGAGGGCTTGCTCCTCGAATACGAAACCAGTCTCACCCGTCTGCTCCGCAATCCCCTACCCCCCAATTCCGCCCCTGCTTTCTCCATGTTCTCCCCCCCTTCGTTTTCCCAGCCACCACCATCCGCCGTGGACCCGACGATAAGCACGACGACGGCACCGGCAACGGCAACAAGCATAACCCCCCAAACCTCACTCCTCCCCTCGAAATCCTTCTACGCGACGTCCGCGCACTTCCTCTGGATCGGCGACCGCACGCGCCAACTTGACGGCGCGCACGTCGAGTTCTTCCGCGGCCTCGCCAACCCGATCGGCATCAAGATCGGGCCCAGCATGACCCCGGAGGAATTGACGCAGCTGCTGGATGTCGTCAACCCTACGCGCGAGATCGGCAAGGTGACCCTGATCTCGCGTTACGGCGCCTCCAAGATCGCCGCCCACCTGCCGGGCCACATCGAGGCCGTTCAGCGCGCCGGCCACCTCCCCGTGTGGCAGTGCGACCCCATGCACGGCAACACCCAGAGCACGCCCACCGGTGTCAAGACCCGCCACTTCAGCGACATCCTTTCCGAACTGCGCCAAGCCCTCGAGATCCACCGCGCCCACGGCTCCTTCCTCGGTGGCATGCACCTCGAGCTCACTGGCGAGGCCGTCACCGAGTGTGTCGGCGGCGCCGGCGGCTTGACCGAGGAAGGGCTCGGCGAGCGCTACACCACCTTCTGCGACCCGCGGCTGAATGAGAAGCAGGCCCTCGAGCTGGCCTTCTTGGTCGCCGGGTTCTACCGCGAGATGGATGAGTCGGAGCGCGGGAGGATGAACTCCATTTGATTTGTTGTCTGGAGCCTGTAGACTAGGAATGAGAGAGGGTGGGTAGTATATCTTCACCACGGTTCCATGTTAGTCTAGGACATGTTCCATCTTGGGAGGGATCCAATGTTGAGAACGGGTCTATCGATTCTATGAACCTCTTTTGGAGACGGACAACTCCAGTTTTGACCAAATATTTTGATTTTTATGATCAGCGACAAAGTGATTAGGGCGGTATACGAAAGGAACCATTCAGTCTTCAAGAGAGAAAAGAGAAGTAAGAATGTTAATTTTATTATATTCAAGAATATGAGATATCCACATCGACCCAAAACCAGTTACAACAAGAAAAAAGCAAACCATTCTGCAAATAGGGGGGGGGGGGTAATGTAGGTGTCCCTATACACAAGATAGACCAGAGAGGAAAAACGAAACCAGACCCAGTCAACTGATAGCAAACAAGGAATCGAAAGTCAGCTCCCAAATACGACCGACCGTACCCAACATAACAACAAGAATGAAGGAAAAAGGACGCAAGATCACTCCACGAGGGGACTGCCAACCCGGGGTTTGTAGGCCATGCTCTTGCGGCGCGCGGCCTCGAGCTTCGAGCGCAGCTTCTGGTTCGGCTCGCGCACGGGGCCCGGGGTGGTGAAGAGACCCTGGCGGGTCTGCTTGGGCGGACAGGTCTGCTGGACGAGCTTCGTGCGCTGGGAGAGGTAGAACGGGGTGGCGGGGGACATGCCGATGGCGTCCATGTCGAAGGTGTAGGCGGAGGAGCCGGGGGTCTGGGGCGTGTGGCAGTACCGCTGGTCGGGTTCGGTGTGGCCCACCGTGTAGTCGATCTGTTCGGGCGGCGTAGCCGTAGAGCCTGACTCCTCCTGCTCCAGCTCCTCCCGGGAAGAGAGAGGCGGCGTGCTGTGGTCCCTGGCGAAGCTCTCCATGGTGTCTCGGCTGATGGCGCCGGAGCGGCGGCGATCCAGGGCGGGGGCGGTTGCGGTGGCCCGGACCAGCGTGCCGTTGACGTTGCTCAGCGCGCGCGGTTCCATGCTCTTGCGGCGTTTGGCGCCGCCGCGGGGGATGATGGAGCTGTCGACGGCGTAGGAGGTTTCGTCGAGCCATTTGTTCTCCCGCTCGCAGTCGAGAACCCAACCGACACCAACACACTTGACCAGGCCCCGCGCGTGGCGCACCTTCTCCAGCGTCCGAGCACTTCCATCCTTGAAGACCACATGGGTGACGCCCACCTTACCCTCCTTGGGTTCCAGCCCTTCCTCCGGGGCCAGGCTCGCGCGAGGGTTCCAGCACCAGTTCTTGATGCATCGGGCTCCCATTTGTTGAAGCAGTTCGATGAAAATACCACTAGCATCTTCGCCCTCCGTGGTGTGCACATCCACATAAACAACAGCTCCTTGCAAGGCTAGCTTAGGCGCCGGTGCGCTCATGCTCCTTCTCGGCGCCTTTGCACTCTTGGTCGGGCTTGGTGATTGCGGAGGGCGCTTGGCAGGAGTCGATCTCTCATTCTTAGGCTCGGCGGGTTGTGTCACCGGGGCGACTGGCCTGGTCATTGAGACTCTCTGAAGTCTCGGTGATTTCCGAGGCAACAACGGTGGGTCAGTTTGCTGGGTAGGAGCGAAGGTCGAAGTGCGGATTCTGGTGGAAGCACGAATAGGCGAAGCACCGGAAAGCGAGAGACCTCTCTTGCGTGAAATTTTCAGCGGCGAAATTTGACCTTCAGGTTTGAGAGGCACCTTGGAAACAGTGTGTACTGTTTGCATCTGAGGAATTCGGTTCTTGACAGGGGTGAAAAGAGGAATGTTGGAAAAGACCTCATTCTCCTTGTTATCATCAAAGGCGTCAATTGCAGGAACCGGGCTCTTCGACGCAGAGGTGATCTCCATCACTAATTCCTCGCCGGGGGCCTCCTCGGTATAGTTGCTAAGAGTAGCCTCAGCCTCTGTTCCATTTGGCATGTCAACCAAAGGGTCTTCCCTCTCCTGGATATTTTCAGAGGAATAGGCCTCTAGTTGGGAGTCCTGACTTGGGTCCTCATAGATCTGAGGGTCGTCAACTTCCTCAGTGACCGGCTCTTCAGTCTGAGCAACAATAGTCTCTTCCGTTTGAGATCGCTGGTTAAAATCTTCGAAGATTTGAGTACCATCGACAACTCCTGTAGATTGCTCAGTGAATTCAGCAGGCTCGGTAGTTTCTGTGTTGTTGGTCTCTAATGGACGAGAGCTCTGGCTAAGGCCTTCGTAGATCTCCGACTCGTCCTCTTCAGACATCAGCTCAGCATCCTCAGTAGTGCCAGGCTCTTCTAAGGCAGGGGTCTCGCTGAAGTCTTCGTGATCCTCGGGACCCTCAACAACCTCTGTGACTTGTTCGGCAGTATCTGTAGACTCTAAAGCCTCAGCAGCCTCAGTCTCTTCTGCCTGTAAGTCGTGGCTGTGATCTTCGTCATTTTGAGGATCGACGTTCTCGTCAGCAGCCCCAGCCTCTTCTGCCCGTGAGTCGTGCTCGGCAGTTTCTGTAGACTCTACAGCCTCAGCAGCCTCAGTCTCTTCTGCCTGTAAGTCGTGGCTGTAATCTTCGTCATTTTGAGGATCGACGTTCTCGTCAGCAGCTTCTGGCTCAACCTCCGTAGTCTCATTTGCGTCAATCTCCTCCGAATGCACGCTTTGGCCAACAACCTTGTCAATCTGAGGACCCTCGTCCTCAGAAATTTCAGCATCGGCATCAGCCGCTTCCGACTGCGCAGGCTCCTCCGAAGCCTCTTCCGCTTGGCTGTCGATTTGAGGATATGTGACCTCTACCGGGGTGGGCAATACGTTGCTGGATGACCTGCGGCTGCCACCCAGAGAGAATATACCTTTGCGTGGGCGTTGCGAACGCCGAGGCTGGAATCGCGCGGGGCTGCTGGCCTCCCATTGGCTGAATTGCTGCGCCAGAGGTGTGAAACGCGGAGCGTTGTCAAAGATCGAACGCTTTATAGACCGTCTGAGAAGTGGTGTGCCGGAATTGGAGTCGACGAAGGGGTCTTGATTGCCACTGGTGTCTACCGTGAAGCCCTGTCGAATCGGGCTTGGGCTGTCAGCGGTAGACTCGAAGCTCATATTCCGCCGTACAGGGCTGTCTGGTAAAACGCGGACTGGTGAGATGTTCTTCATTGCTCTGTAGTAGGCTTCACGAATTGGACTCCAAGGATTTTCTGGCTCTTCAACCTCGTATGGCAAGATGGGGACACGGCTGCGCGGAATGATCTCTGTTGGTTCAGCAACAACAATGGTGGGCTCATTTTCTTCGAAGACGCAATCGTCAATGATGTCTTCTTGCTGATCACGGGATAAATCGTCCTCCGCAGCGTCAACGTCATCATCGGTCTCCATCATGTCAGGGTCGTCCTCCGTATCCGAAGAGTCAAGACGCTGATTCGCCTGTTCAGGTAGTGTGGGTTCATCGACAAAGACATCGTCAAGGTCCTTGGCTACGCCGTTTCGGATGTTGGGGATGGGCGTGTGTTGTTCCTCCGCAATCGAGTGGTCGACCTCTTCTAAAACTGAATTGGGTGTTGCCGCGCGTTCCTGGCCAATTGCATTCTGATGGCTGTTTTCAGCATCAGATACTGTCTCGGGCATATCTTGGTCCAGATTGACACGGTCATCATCCTGTTCCTGATTGTCCCCATCAGAAGCATCGTCCAGTGTTGCGTCCACTGAAATTTCGCGAATAACGGGACCATCTTTATGCTCTTTTGCACCGTCCTCAGACTCCACAGCAACCTGCAGATCATCCCTTTCCTTGTCAGCTTGATGTTGAGACTCGGGGATAGCCTCAACAACAGGCTCTCCTAGGGAGTCCTCGTTCGACTCCTCAACATTCTCATCGTCGACATCCTCAATGGGCTCCGCATTTGGGTTCTCTTCGGACTCTTCAGCTGCATCCTGAGTCACTTCCTCGCCAGTCTCTTCCATAGGCACATCCGCATGCTCAGGGGCAGGATCGACCTCTTCCATATCGTCAATGTCAGATTCCTCTGCCATGCTTCCAGCATCTTCTTCCATGGCCTGATCCTCAGTTTGATCACCATCCTCGACGTTTTCTTCGACGACTTCGGCGACGTCTTCAGCAACTGTGCTAGCATCATCCTCGACGTACTCGACAGACTCCCCAGAATCGTGTTCTGTGGTATCTCCATTCACCGCACTGTTCTCATAGTGGCGTGCTAGCGAAGGCGAATGAGGCGGAGTTGTGCTGACAGGGTCGATGTCGTCATTCTCCTCAGACGCCACATCCTGAGTCGTTTCATCCTCCTCATCGGCCTGAGTCTCTACCCTGGTGGTTTTCATGAGTCGGAGAGGGGATTCCTCAAGGTGAGAATCATCAAAAGTATCGTTGTCTCCCGGTTCTTCTTCGTTGTCATTCTCGTGCTCGGACTCTTCAGGTACTGGGCTCTTCATGACGGACAAAGAAGCTTTGAACGGAGTGGCGACCTTCTTCGCGGGACTTTGAAGGAGGGACGTGCTATGTCTCAAGGGAGTGGCGGAAGGCTCTGGTTGAGATTGAGACATGAAGGACGCGCCAAACAGACCTTTTCTGGGCGACGATTTCAGGGGTGAGTTGAGTCCCGGTGTGAAGTTTGGTTGAGACACCGATCCGGTACTGGTGCCAAAAAGATTGCCGCGTCGAGGGGTTTCCAGGGAGGCTTTCTTCGGAGACAGCCTGAGCGGAGAGTTGAGGGTGGGCGACAACGTGGGTTGCGACAAGGGCTTAATGTCACTGCGGAGAGTCAGACCACCACCTCGTCTGGGTGTTTCTCTCATTGTGAAATTGAATGGCGAAGGGGGCGGTCGGCGGGCGGGGCTCGACAGGAGAAGGTTATTATCGTTGAAGTCGACCGAACGTCGAGGGCCGGGCAATGGGTCGCCATTTTCATCGAGGGACTTGCGGAAGTGTCGTCCAGTAAGATTGATCTTCTTGACTGGGGAGCTGGGTCCGGTATTTTCTGATCCGTGTTTGGGAGGCGATTGAAGGATTGCTTTCATCTGTTCTTTGTCCGCACTCAACTCGTCGTCTTCGCCATCCGAGCTGGCGTAGGAAGAAAGCCCCTTGGCGACCTGCGTCGCCTTCTTCGGCGACAGCGGCTTTGACGAGTCGTCCTTCTTCGCTGCCGCAGGCTTGCGGCCCCTACCGGAGGTGGCCGCGGGTTTCCGCACCGGCTTGGACGCAAGACCTCCCTGGCGCCCTGAGACGGCGGCGGCGCCCCTTCTCCTGCCAGCCGGCGGAGGAGACGGCTCGTTCAATTCATCCGCATCCGTATCCGTGGGATCCTGGAACGTGACTTTCTTCTTCTTGGCCGGTCCGCGCAGCATGTTCGACCTCACGGAGGAAGAGTGGGTGGTGATGTACAGTTGCCTCGGGGCCTCTTGCGACGAGGAGAAGTCGATATCCGTGAACCCTTTGGCGTTCAATCGCGTATTTTCCTTCAATTCGTCGACCACCTTCAGCTTCGCAGCCGCAGTCCCCTTCGGTCGACCTCGGGTCTTGGGCGCAGCAGCAGCAGCAGCCTTGTCCGCCTCCTTGGCGTCGGCAGCGGCGGTGGCGGGCTTCGCCTTCGGTCTCCCAGCGCGCTTCTTCGGTACCGTTTCCGACTGAGCCAGCTCGTCGTCGTTGTCACTGTCCGATTCCGCCGCCGCCGGCGTCGCAACCACCGGGGTCTTTCGCGTGCGCGGAGCTACGGCACTGGCCCCCGCCTTCGCTGCGGGCGGCCTCCCTTTAGGCTTCGACGTGGCCGTTCCATTCCTCCTACGACTCCCGGCAAACATATCGATCTCATCGTCCGTCGTCGCGTCCGAATCCTCCTCCTTGACGGGTCGCTTGGCGGTGGCGGTGGTCGTCGTTGTGACTGACGCGGTCCGGACGCCTCGCTTCCGGGCTTCCGTGGCGGAGCTAGGTGCTTTGGCCTTGGTGGTCTTCGGCGCGGTTCTGCTGCTGGCCGTCGTCGTCGTCGCGGTCGTGGTTGTCGTTCCCTTGGTGCGGGTGCGCGTTGCCCGCTTGGGCGGGGACTGTGGGATGATTGCTGCGCGAGCCATGCTGTCTGTTATTCGCGCCTTCACGCGTCGAAGATCCGAAGGGGTTGAGGTCGGTGGTTGTTGGTTCCTCCCACTCACTCTGTTGCTGTTTTTTCCGTCAAATGTGTCGCGCGCGGGGAGGGAGGGAGCCGGGTTAGTGTCGACGAATTCACTCTGCTCTCATTGTGTGACTGCTTGTAGTGACAAAATCAATGGCCACTATGTCAGATTGCCCCCGAAGTCCGATATGTAAGATAAGTCGTAGCAAGCAGGGGGGGGGGCGATGGGCGTTGGGTGTTGAGTGGGTTAAGGTTGTGGTGGAATAAGCTTGCAGCTTTCGGCGGCGAGCGAGCGTTGGGCGTTTCGTCAGAGTTCGAGCTCGGGTTGGAAACAACCAACCAAGCCTGCCCGCCGCCGCGTGTTGTCGACCTTGCTTGTTTGGGAAGTCGAGGGACTGGTTGCCCTGACAACATGGCACGTGATGACAGCCACTCCGCGCGACGATCATTTACAGAGAGATATCCAATCAAAGTACGCAGTACAAGATATCCAAGTCATACATCGTATGCATGTATGCACAGCACTGCTATCAAGAACTTTTACTATGCTTACTACTGTTCAAAAAGACTTGCATGATCAAAAAACCACCAAAGCCACGCCTTCAAAGGATTTACCCACAAAACATTTACAGCAAAGCGCCCGCAGTCACTGTCGCCGCCAAGGCACCAAGAAATACAGCACGCGACACAATAGCGCTTTCACTGCTGAACACAACAGCTGGCTTATACTCGCCCGGTGTGGTGGAGTTCGTCGTACCGTTCCAACAATATCTGTCAAAACACCGGTTACAGATGTCCGGGACGCTGGTGTTGGTGCGTTCGAGCGATCGACTCAGAATCGCGCACCCCAGACACGTTGACCAGTCCGCGTCACGGCTGTTGTTACCCATTGTCGCAACGTCATACCCGTTCTGGATGATCTGATCTCTCTGCGACTCTTCGTATTCCGGTTGGAATGTGGAAACGTTCGAGTAAGACACATATGGGTAATTGGGAAGGTAGACAATCAGCGGCGCCGGTCCCGTCAGATTCGACGAGTTGCAGCCAAAAAAGGTCGGCCGCGTATTGAGGCCCAGATTGACGAAAGTATTTTGGTCCGGAACCGCTGGGAAAGCTGTTCCATTTCCGATGCCCGTGGAGTTCAAGCTCCGTTCGTAGGTAGCAACCATAGCAGTACCATTCGGCCACTTGTTATCAGTGTCAGCAGACGAATCCACCGCGATGATAACGTCAACATGGCGCTCCGGCTGAATCAGTGGATGCAGTGGGATATTCTGGAGATCTTCACCACCATCGACTAGGTCGAGCATGGTTTCATTTGCAGCTGGCGATGAGTTGTTGGCCCAATGGTAGAAAGGATTTGGTGTATACAGCGCGATGTCATAGTTCTCTTGCCCAATGTCCTCCAGAATGCTTGTAAAGGCCGATTTCAAAAAGTCCGGGAGAGCTGTAGAATTAACCTGTAAGAGGAACTGATTGAAAAGACTGGATGAAGTCCCCATCACAAAGCCTGCGTTGTCAAATCCCCTAACACAGCTTTCATTCTTAGGAAGAGACCCAGCCACAAAACGAGACCCGAGGTACTCAATAGGCGCAAATCCGTAGATGGTAGGGTCAAAAGTGCCAAACTCCCAGGGATTGAATTCGTAAACGGTAGCATTGCTACTCACAAGTAGCTCATCCGGATATCGACCGTCAGCAACCAGTATCGGTATCGGCATCTCGGCCTTCTTAAAGGAATCAGTCAGAGCGATTGACGACCAGGTGTAGTCGATCCCCCCATTGGAAGCATTGATCAGCTGATAAGAGAGGGCACGACCCCTAACACATCACGGTCAGTGACTCTCGAATCTTAGCCTGAGGGCAATGTACACTCACCAATAATCGGTGATGGAAGTGTTGAAACCTGCACGCGATTTGCCCTGCACAGCATCATAGATATCCCTATAATAAGAGGCAGAGTCAAATAGCTGAATGCCATTTCCCTCTGGTCCCACAAAAATGGAATTCTGGAACTGCCAGATGTCGCCGTCGTCGTACGTCTGCAAATGAGAAATGGTACTGAAGTTATTCATATAAATCGAACCAACCAACCAACCGCCGCCGCTCAAGCCCGCCAGGTATGTCGCCGACTGCAGCAAACCACCAAGCTGACCATCACTCGTGGAGTTGTTCGTCCGGCTATCGAATGCCTTGATGGCCCCTGCACCGTTCATCAGGGCTCGATAGCCACCTCCAGACACCGCGATTCCGATATTGGGCAGGTTCGAGGTGTTTCCGGAGACTCGATCGATATATTCCGTTGCGTTGAAGTCTGCGATGGTGACATGGCCGAAGAAGCTTTTGAGGGCGGACTCAGTCTTTCCCCGGCGAGTCTTGAGCCATGAGGTCTCGTTCGAGGAGAGAGTCGAAGCACTGCGCACTGTAGGCCGAGTAGCCGAACAACTCACATTGTCCGGGGTGTAGCCGTCGGGGGCGTTGGGAAGCGCGCGCTGTAGCATCATGTGTTTCCGATCCCCATCTTCTGCGCTACTTGTCGCTCCTGTTTAAACAATCAGCCAGAAAAGAGGATAGTCATCGAAGGACATCGACATACCGACCAGCAAGCCCGCTAAAATGAGAAATGTAGCTGTGAGTTTCATATTGACTATCACAGTCAAGCCGCCTGCAATCGACAGCGGCAGAGCTCGTGTGGAAGAGGTCGAATTTGCTGCAATACCAGACCCCGAGTCATATCAAAGGGCTGAGCTGCCGTTGGGCAGGATGACTTGGGTGTTGACGAAGCCCGAGGTCATCCAAGTATTTGTATTCACCGATTCACCGATGGACATGGAGGTTTCCGGCACAGCTGGCAGGCAGCCTGGAGAGTCACGGCTGCTCATTGGTGTGTCTAGAAATGGAACGCGGCACAGTAGTGAAAGTGATATACTAGGTAGTGGACGCAATCGTCCGTGGCTGAGCTCGAGCAGCTACGAGCCATGGTTCCTGGTGAAGCAAAAGCTACTCGGGGTCAATGGGCGTTTGTGGTTCGGACAGCGGGAGACAGCTTCTGGGCTTGGGTCAGAAGAGCTCCCCCTCACCCTCATCGCTGGCAACTAGGCAGGCGCATTTTGACTTGGTGTGGCTCTAATCCTGTGGACAAGAGCCTTTTGACTAATATTTTAATCACTAATAGTTATCGTGTTGCATAGGTGGCCGATCAATCTTAAAGGGAAGACCCTGGATCGGCAAGCGATGGCGGATGCCGCGGGTGGTGGGCGGGCAGCCTTGTTGGAGGGCTGACTGGTACTGACGGCTCGGGTAGGTTGACGCAATCCCGCCCCCAGAAACTTCAGGCCAACCCCGGCATTCCTCCGCCTCTGCTTCGTATTCAACTGCTTCCAATCTCTTCTCGTGTTCCTTTTCCGAGCATGGGTGACCCCTCCCCGAACAAAGCCACGTCTGCATTGCTCAGAAGCATATCTAATATGAGATCATCATAATCCATCAACCCGTTCCCCTCAGGCCCTCCCGAGCCCAGCTGAGCTACCCATCATCCATCTCGACTAGCTATGACTGGCCTCGCGGTTCAATCTCCACTACCGCTCAATCAATCCCTTCGAAACATGATATCCGTCCTCATCGTATACTTGACCCCACGTATCACAGGATCCCCGCCATGCAGCAAATCATTCTGCTGAAACACCAGCACCGACCCCGTCCGGGGAAAGATGCGAAGATGGCGCTCCTTCTCCTCGAACCGAGGCAGAAAGGAGGTCGCACCGCCCAGCAGAGATCCTTTCGTGTCCAGATTCACAACGCCCTCGCCTTTTTCCAGGCGCTTGATCTCCCGCATCAGTTCCGCGCGATCCTGCTCCCCATCCCCATTCAAATAGAGGTGCACCGTGTAGTACGAGGTCTCGCGCCCGTCCGGCGTCCGGTAGTGTCCATCCCAGTGCGGTCGGAAGTATTCCCCCCCTTCGTATCTCAGAAAGCGCAGTCGCTCGTTGAGACGGGTGAGTCGGTAGACGACGTTGCGACCGGCCAGGCCCGTCACCCGGGGCTGATTGTCGATCACCTCGATGCCCCCCAGCTCCTGTAAGAAGGGCCGCAACCGGGCCAGCAATTTGTCGGCCAACTCAGGCGAGTCGTAGATGATTCGCCCGCAGTTGCGTGTGTCCACCGCGAGCGCCTGTTTGCCGTTACCCAGGTTGATCATGGCGCGCTCCCAGGTGGGTTCGGCGGTGGCGGCGGCGGCGACGGTCCGGTCCCCGGGCTTCGTTGACGGGACGGTGCTGGCCTCGGCTAGACGAAGAAACTCGTCGCATTCCTCCTTGGTGAATGCATTGTCAATGACTGCAGCGCAAAGCTCCTTGTATTCAGGCAGCGGTGGGTCGGACTGGGTGAAGTCGATGCGATGGCATCGAGCGTTGGCGGGGGGTTTTGCGGGGAGAAATTCCGCCTTTGTTCGCCAAGTCATAACGAGTTCGGCGCAGAAGATCTTTGGTGGTGTCGTGGAGTGAGCTCGAGATGTGGGCTTAGATTGTATAGAGTCGATCGAAGAATTTTTCAAATTCAGAACGTAAGGGGCAGAGTCATCTTGGAAGAATGACCCTCCGGGGAGGCTTAGAAAGTTAGCCCTGTTTGGGACCCCGACTCAGCCTCGTGAGCAGGCAGCGAAGCGAGTCATATCATACAGTGGGGGCTGAGCCTTGACCAGGCCAAAGTCATGGGCTCCTACAGTGAAAGCACTGCAGCCTTGAGTGTTCAAGTCCATCTCACACATAACAAGTAACAAAGACAATTAATAGGAGCATTTGTCCCGCTCGGCTTATCTCAAGATCCATGATGTCTAGTGCCATAACAACAACGCTTGGCACTCATATCGGATTTTTCTTCTTCCGCCCAACTACACGACTCATCTCTATTGCATAAACCCCAAGTATCATAGCACTGCCTTCTTATGGGGTCGCCAGTGCTGGAGGTAAGACCGCACGTAGAACTTCAAAAACAATAGCATCAGGAACAGAACAAACCCGCATCCAAGGCACACCGCATAAGCCTCACTACTATCTCTGATGCATCTTACTGTCTTCATGTCCCGAGACTGCTGTACTTTTGAGCCCCGTGGCGTTATGTTGAAAGGCGTAACCGGCGATTGATCACGTCGCTCAAGAGGAGGACCAGAAAAAGGAACATCATATTCCACAAGGACGGACGATAAGCCTAATAGGCTACCGACGAAGAGTTGCATGATTTGGAGTAAAGTCAAGGAAGCTTTGGTCGAGTGGTGAACGGGGATGCGCAACGCAGTCATGCTGTAGTATGTATACTGTGCGTCGCCATATTAGCATATGTGGCAGGATAGTATAGTCATCCGACGTAACAGTACTGACCATCACGGTGTGCACAGCCGAGTTAAATAGTGTGGCAATTATCGAGGCCGAATCGATAAATCGCACTCCCATGCAGCCCCAGAAGATAACGCCAGCATGGTGGTATATATGCAGACCCGAAGCCTGGCGCCCTTTCGCAAGAATGATCACGGTGTCGAGTGGTTCATATAGCTTCGACAGATAAAACAGCCAAACGATCAACTTCAACCTCGGCGTATATGATTCGTACCCCGGAAACTGACCCCCATGGCAGACAATGTCTGCCGCCCGGCTCATGTACAATTCGTCTTGCTTTTCCGGCCATGCGGAAAACAATGTGCTCAGCATAGCGGCGAATGTCCAGGCCGAGAAAGCTGTCAGAATCAGATTGTGTAGTATCACTAAGTTAGGGAAGACCTTTGTGCGACTGATTGCCCACGGTCTCCGTCCTCTGGCATTGATCTTATTCCAATATATGACAACCGATATGTACAAGATGCTTATTGTTGTTGGAAACCGCAGGTCCGTAGAGAATTTGTATAATGATGGTGAAAGCTGATATTTACCGAAGCGGAGTGCTGATTCGGAAAAAGGAAGGGAGTGGCTTGAGCCAAAAGCATCGGAGTACTCGAATAAGGTGGAGGGCGGTCGTGTAAGGCGAAGGAGTCGCGGTGTCAGCATGGCGGCAGACATTCCAAAAAATCCTTCAACGATGATTGAAGAGCGAGCGTGCTAATTTCGGTGACAATCAAGAGCCACTTGATGCGCGAACCGCATGCACCAAATGTCGGAGCTTGTTTGATGATACGATTGCTCATCCTGTATCGAAAGCAACCCTCTGTGCTAGGAAGATAGGACCCTTGCAGAGCTTATGAACTGCTGTCGGGTCATTAAGGCAAGGCCTCAATTGCATTCAGGGGAGAATCAGGGATTGTTGTTGGGAGCTGAAGTCCGCCCGAACCGGAAACCGACCCCGGACTTCCAACCGAATGTCCATCTCATGCCTTGGCAAGGCTTCAGCTGACTGCTCATTCTTCACTACAGTACCTTGAGAATAGACCAAAATTCCAGATTTACAGCTCTCTACTATATATATGTTCATTTCCTCAACTATGATCCCGCTACGGCGAAAGTCTGCATATGGAAAGCCAATACTCCCAAGACCCGGCATGGCGCATAAAAGATGATCTTTCCAAGGTGATAGATGGTATGCCCTCTTGAGGACAGGCACTATTAGAGCTCGGCTAACACTTGACAATAAGATTAGATTGAAGAGCTCCCCGGGCTTGTTCCGCACCTATCATTGGGTAGCTTGAGGGCAGTTTCAAGGACATAGACATTGAATCCCAAAGGGCTCCATTGGGATAGACATCGATTTCGTCCTACCATATTTGATCGATAAACTATGAACTAGCGACCGTCAACAATGACTCACTATACTAGCAAATCGGAACATTCAATGTCCATAGGTGTCGCTGGCATATCACAGAGCCCCCTCATTTGCTGTGTCGAGGCGGTACAAACAAGAGCAAAGTCCGTGAAATAACTCCTCCAGCGGCTGTGCCACATCAGGTCAGAAAAGGGTGGTGATTTTGGGCAGTAATCAATTCTCGGAGCCGATAGATTGTTTTTATTGCAGACCTTCAGCCGATTTTGAGGACGATAAGTGACAGCTCTCAGAACATGATCGAATGCATTCTTCCTGCTCCTCGATGACCATCAACTTTTAAATTTGTCCTCTGTCGCAATTATTGCAGTGGGAAGTATGGAAGAAATCAACACAGTCCCCGATGACGATCAGACAGGACATCTCACTGAAGAGCCGATGATTAGACGATATTGGTACCAACGTATAGACTGGTGGGGAATCATTTTTACAATGGTCGTTCCTCTCTATGGCCTGTACCAATTCTGGAAGATCCCTCTGCATCCGAAGACATTCATTTTTGCGGTAGTATTCGGCCATATTTCGGGAATTAGCATTACTGCCGGTAGGTAACACACATTCCACATCATTGCTTGATTCACCATTCCTGACACTGCGTTAAACATGCTAGGTTATCATCGACTCTGGGCCCATGCATCATACCGTGCTACCACACCACTAAAAGTATTCCTCGCCATTTTAGGGAGCAGTGCCGGTCAGGGCCCGATTGAATGGTGGGTGCGCAGTCACCGTACGCATCACCGATACACCGACACTGCCAAGGATCCATACTCTGCCCACAAGGGTCTTCTTCACTCCCACATGGGATGGATTCTGTTTAGGAGAGACGCCAGGATCTACCACGGGATAGACATGTCTGATATCAACAATGACTTTGTGGTCCGGTGGCAATGTCGCTACTACGGCGGCATCTTACTGGCCATGGTGTTCTTGTTCCCAACCGCAGTCTGTGGCCTCGGCTGGGGCGATTGGAAAGGCGGCTTTGTCAATGCCGGTATCGTCCGCATGTTTGCAGTTCAACAGGCTACGTTCTGCGTGAACTCCCTAGCCCACTGGATGGGGGATCAACCATTTAATGACAGGAACTCTCCGCGCGATCACCTAATCACGGCTATCATCACGCTTGGAGAAGGATACCACAATTACCACCATGAATTTCCCATGGATTACCGCAATGGAGCGGACCGGTGGCAGTGGGATCCAACTAAGTGGGTGATCTGGTTGTGGGAGCAGATGGGTCTTGCATACGACCTGATACGTTTTTCTACACATGATGTGGACAAGTGCCGTCTGCGACAGGCGCAGAAGAAACAAGCGTCGCACTCGGCCCGGGACGTTCCTTTGGAGGGCTTGCCAAGAGTCTCATGGAAGGACTACATAGTGCAAGCCAGAGACGGTAGGCGGGCACTGATTGCTATCGATGGGGTGGTCCATGATGTATCGAGCTTTATGCCCGAGCACCCTGGAGGCAGTCAGTTACTCGAGGATGCCATCGGTCAAGATGCCACTGAATTGTTTACTGGAGGAGTACACCTGCATTCCAGGCTGGCTCATGGTAAGCTTGCTACCTTGAGTGTAGCCGTTGTTCGTGAGGTATCATGATTAACAAGCAGATGGCATAGCTGGAACAAACCAGGTGAGCCCAATAGTTTCAGGAGTCTTGAGAGCCTTTCATTACCTGGAGAATCTTGCTACCGCAACGTTCACCCAGCTGGCTCAAACATTGTTATCTTTCCCAATTGAATGTGTCTGAGCCTCTTGCCTCAAATGCATGTGTAGTAGTACCAGCTCACCTATTCAGGCCGGTATACGATCACGTACAAGAAATAAGATTGAGTTGCCCTCTACCCAAAATTCCATAGATGCTTTGGACAGAACCACTTGATTGTACCCAGGGCCACGAAATACGGTAGTGTAGGGCGTGCCGCCGATGACCCACAGGGCGTGCAGACACGCCTTACTCAAGACATACTGATAATGGACGGTGAAGATGAATGCCAGTGGAGATACGACCAGCATATATATATATATATATTGGAAGGGGACTGAGCAGCAGAAAGAGCCATTGTGTTGGGAGTCACCGCTTAAATTATTCTCCATCACCATCACCGCCATGGTTCCTCACAACCGCCCAACGCCTCTCGCCTGACCTACACCTTCACAGCCGCTCCACGCGAGGTCCCAGACGTCCAAACCCTGAGCAGCACCAGCAAGACAATATGCACCGACCACATGATCACTGCATCCTGGAACGCCAAGAGCGGCTGGTCCGCGCCGGAACTGAAGCCCTACGGCCTTCTGAGCCTTGAACCCAGCGCCTCGTGCCTGCACTACGCCTACGAATGCTTCGAGTGCCTCAAGGCCTACCGCGGCCACGACGGAAAACTGCGGCTGTTCCGCACCGACCGCAACACCCGCCGCCTGCTGATGTCCGCCCAGCGCATCTCCCTCCCCGAATTCGACCCGACGAGCTCGAGAAACTCATCTACACATTACTCTCCGTCGACGGGACCAAATGGCTTCCCCGAGACCGCATGGGATCCTTTCTGTACGTGCGCCCGACCATCATCGGAACGGACTCACAGCTCGGCGTCACGCAGCCGACCGAGGCCCTCCCAGCGAGGGCTTCCTCATCGAAGGAGCAGATATCGCATCCAGGAGATTGATCGACGGGCAGCTGCAAGCTCCATAACACCTGTTTCAGGCCCCGCCGATCCCCTAGAACGCTGGAAGGATTCTCGCCTAAAGCGGAAGCAGCCAGCTTATCGGCCATTCAGAATGCTCTCGAGAATGCACCGACGGATTCAGGAGTAAGCCGAGGGCCCGCGCTGGGCCCGCACCTGGATAACTTGTTTCAGACGCCTCGCCATGCAGCTTCCCGAGCAGCTTCAACGGTAAGTGGCGAAAGTGCCACCAGTGCCTCCTCTTATCGCTCCAACCGATCTCGCGTATCTGTTCGATCCCATGGCAGCCAGTCCGGCTCTGATAGGCCAACTGCTGGGATCCAGAAGAAACAGGTCAGCACGGGCAGAAAGAAGCGGAGTTCGGCCAACAACCCTCGTATATTCTGCTGCACGTTTTGCTGTGATAAATTCAAGAGCAAATATGACTGGGTGCGCCACGAGAAGTCCCTTCATCTGGACCTGGAGAATTGGTCGTGCCCGCCGTTCGGTGGTTCTGTCATCCTGCCATCAACAGGCCGCACCCATTGTGCCTATTGCAACCAGCTGGACCCCACCCCCACTCACCTCGAGCAGCACGATCATAGAGTCTGTCAGCAACAAACGCGGACGTTCCGGCGATAAGACCACCTGTTCCAGCATCTGCGCCTTGTCCACCGTCTTGAACCCATGCCAATCACCGACGGGGGGAAGAATGTGGCCACAAACTTCCCATCCCGTTGTGGATTCTGCGATAGCCGGATGACCAGCTGGGACGATCGAGCTGACCACTTAACCATGCATTTCCGCCAGGGTTGTACCATGGCCTAGTGGAAAGGCGACCATGAGTTCCCGCCAGACATCGCCGCTCAAGTGAGACATAGCGTACCTCCGTATCTGCTCGACTTTGAGTCCCGGACCTTCGTTCCCTTCTCTGCCACCAACGGTGCTGTCAATGATCATCTTTCTCAAATGCTCTCCCGGGCCAGCTTCCGAAACGTACTGGGCGAGCCTGAGACGCCTCCGGATTCGGAAGCTCCGCAGCTGAAGTTGCCGCCAGCCCCCGAGCCTCAGTTGGATTGTTACACTGAAGTGCTTACTCGCCACCTGAGTCATTATGCGCGCGAGATGATGAGCATTGGCGTGGTTCCGACGGACCAGATGTTCCAGTCAGAAGCGAGGCGGATGATGTTTGGTTCTGAAGACCAATGGGACCAAACACTGGCGGATGTTCCGGAATGGTTGGCTAAGTTTCGCCGAAGACAGGGCAACGATGATTCTCTGTATGCATAGGGGATATCTCCCTTGGATCCAGTGATCTTACCACAATTATCGGCAGTTGAACGATATGAATATCTTTCCAACTCCTTGCGTCAATGCAGAACTATGGTCTAAATCAATTACTCTCCTGCCGCAAGGCCGCTGCTCTGCCTCAGCCGCGGTCCATACCGAATGAAGGCGAATGGTATCCCTACCAGGGCTAAAGCCAAAAACCCCAGAAGTGAGCCTGCCCGGTGGATGCCCAGGTGGTTATACATCGGGGTCGCGGCGAAAGGCAGAACCACCGCCATTATGGCCCTAGTTGCACTCGCGGCCGCCTGCGCAGATGCCGAGGCTTCCTTATAAGCATCTGTCAGGTAGTTCAACATGGCGGCGCAGACCAGAGAATAGCCGAAACCAAAGAAGACCCCAGCCATCATGGGTAGAGCTGGGTGAATTCTACGATAAGAACTCCAGCCGAGCCAGAAAAGCGCTATGACAATTCTGCGTTGGTCAGTCGAACACAACATGAGCGGGTGAGTGATCGGTTGAGGTTCATGCACATACGAAACGGCCCCGACACATGCAAGTGGCAGACGACGGTATTCTTCGATCAAAGCCCAGGATTTGTTTGCTGCCATGACTCTAGTATGAATCGAGGAGTAGACAAGCACAAGGCATAGGCCGAGAAGGGAACCGAACATCATCATCGACGGAGTCAAGAAAACCAAATCATTGAGTATTCGAACAACGGGCCGACCACGAAACCGACGAGGTACAGCGAATTCAGAAGCACAAGGCGGGCATCCATTCGGATACTTGAAATGCCTGTGCTATTGCCGGCCAGGCTCCCGAGGGAAGTGAAGCACCCAGAGAGCGATTGAAGGTGACGATGGTGCCTGCTAGGACAATATGTTTCTTTCGGAGCTGTGTAGATGGACATGTCAGGACGCGCACGAGGTTGAATACTAGTACCTAAGTTGGGTGGATACTGCATAGCTTTTTTCACGCCCTACAGGATAGACCCATAAATCCCCGAATTGGGACAGGTGCCAGTGGCAGTGAGTGTAGTGTAGTGTTCCACTCCAAACTGCCAGTATCTAGTCACTACAATTACTTTCCTCCCGCTTATTTTCAAGGAAATGGCCATCTTGATACCGGGGCCGATGCCGCCTACTCCGTCCAATGTTTGTGATCCGCCACACGCGCCCGCCCTTACGATTAAGACGGTAATGCAAGTTGTCGGACAAGAGAGGATTGCTTACTCAGTGACTTCGAAGAAGATGACTTGGGCTTTGCTACCCAGTGTACATACAGTGAGTACTTTTCATATGGAGGATTTCTCGCTCTGTGCCCTGAGTTGGTGTTGAATTCATATGATAGTACGCATTCAACGGCTAATATGGCTATGTGACCTAGTCTCCCCTAAATAGAGACTATTTGCACAGTAGATGTGTAATGTACTATCCTTGTAATGAAGAGGCAGTAAGATATCAGATTTCTTGCTGATGATCTCTGGAATCCTTGATGTTGTTGACGAACTGGTGTTATTGCAAGTCCCGAGCGGAAAATTACCAAATGCCTTGATATTATAGAGTACTCTATTTTGGTCAACACTGTAAGCATAATCCTATGACGTAATGATAGTGACACGTGCACCGACGTGTCACCGCACCATCTGGTGTATTTCACATTGAGTGCCAACAACCTGAAAGTAAATGAAAATGACGCCAGTAAGCGAAGCAACAGAGACCCTGCGTTTCAAGGGACCTGCGTGGAGCCAAGCCATCCAATGAACCGGTCGGTGGCGGTGGAGCTCCCGATCCCCGATGCTGTGACGTCACCTGTCACTCTTTCCCCCATCCATGAGTTGATCGCCTTTAATTCTCCAGCTTGTCGCCCCTCAATCATTTTCCTCTTTCCTGTTCATCTCAGGCCTTTTAGGACTTCCGGCTGAACGACTACTGGGTGCTTGGAACGATGAGGGTGTCGATCATTGCGCGTCAGGCCCTTGTGCAGGCCACTCTTCTCTCAATTGCCTCCGCTATTCCCGCTCCAACGGCTTTCCCCAGCACCAACAACGACAACAGTGCCGCTGCCGCCCCGCCCGACCCGGTCATCACCCCTTCACCCGTCCAGTACAACCCTTCTCCAGTCGTACCAGTCGCACGTCGGAATATCTTGAGTGATGTTGATTCGGATATCAACAGTGTCCTCTCAGGGCTTGGGTCGGATCTCCCCTCGTGGGTCGCATCGGGTGTGCCCAACTTCTTCCAGGGCTTCCCCACGGGAGATGCTGTCGTGAGCTCTCTCGGCCTGAACAGCGCCCAATTGGCAGCACTTCCCACCAATGTCTTGAACATTGATCCCTACGCCAATTGGACCAGCTCCGGCTGGAACGTCCGCTTCCACGGAAACGTTTACAAGCAGCCAAACACCTCCGTCTCCGACCTGAACAAGTTTGCCAATGTCTTTCTCGGGAACACAAGTATCGAGGATCTGCCGGAGTCCCAGCAGGCCCAAGCACGCAATCTGACAGCCGAGATTCTGGTGGTTCAGCAGCCGCACGTTGCCGTGAACACCATCCACCTCGAGCCGGCACCGAGTCAGGGAGCCAGCGGAGAGCCCGGTGGCGGCGGCGCATCCAACACCACCGGCGGTACGCAAGACTTGACTCTTCCGTACAACACCACCGCTGAAGGCGATTTCGATGCCTTCGTGCCGATTGACAGCAACGGCCTGACCGCGGGGAATGAAACCTCGGCAATCCAGAGACTCAACACTTACGTGGAGGGCGCATCGATTGGAAACAGTACCGCCTACTTGGTGCCACCCAAGGGTCTTACCATCGTGTCTGACATTGACGACATCCTTCGGGTCACCAAGATCTATGAACCGGAACAAGGCTTGCTCAACTCGTTCGCGCGTCCTTTCACGCCGTGGGAGAACATGCCCGACCTTTACCGCAACTGGTCTATTAACATCCCGGACATGCACTTCCACTACCTGGTAAGTTCGGTATTTACTATCTGCACGTCTTGGATACTAATTGTCGCAGACTACCACCCCCGAGCAAGTGACCAGAAACTACATGCAGTTCATCTACACCCATTACCCTGGGGGCTCCTTCGACACACGTCCCCTTAATTTCAGCGACGTCTCGGCCACCCTGTCGATCCGCAAGTTCCTGCTGAAGAAGGTCTTCGAAACCTTCCCCGAGCGCAAGTTCATCCTGATCGCGGATACCAGCAACAGCGATGTCATGCGGGACTACCCTGAGATGGTGACCGATTTCCCCGGACAAGTTCAATGTATCTGGCTCCGCAACACCTCCGCCACCGACTCGGGCGACAAGTTCCCGTACGACACGTCCGGGTTCAAGAACCTGAACCAATCGCAGTACATGTTCTTCCTGCATCCGAACGACCTCACCAACCTGGATGTCGCGAATGGCCAATGCTACAACCAGTCCATTGCCCAGAACCTGACCTTCAGCTACCAGGGACTGCCCTTTGGGCTTGGGGATGACCCCACCTCGGTCAATGCGTCCGCGAACGGCACCGAAGAGAATGCAGCTAGCGGACTCTCGACGAGGGGGGCCGCTGGTGCGCAGAGCCTGCTGGCATTGGTCGCGGCGATGTTCACGGCCACATTCATGTTCTTGTAGAATCATGTCGATACGAATCATGTTATAATGTCTTGTACATTTCAAACACATCATATAATGAACTGGGATAATTAATTTTACTGGTGAATCTTGACTTCCTTCCCGTCCCTAGACAGGCGGGGTATGCGCGTCATTTCCTGCTGTCCATTTTGTCTCTATTACTGTGCCAGATAATACACCTGCATTGACATCGCTATTGTGCGTTGGCAGGTCTAATGAGAAACACGTCACCTTCTCGCACTGTACGATAGATTGGTAGAGGAAGCTTCCCAATGGCTCCCGGGGGGATGGAAGAGGGGATCCCGCTTCTTTCCTGCACCTCAGAGTTGAGTGAGTAATCTCTTTCCTAGTCACACGTATACTGTACATCTGGCCAGGGGGTCTTCGCCGGCTGCAGGGCACGGACCACCCGTTGCTACTCTCGGTGGGCTTGTCTAGAACCTGGGGAGGATTTCCCAAACCCCAACGGTGAGGTTTTTTTTATGATCACGGGATCAGGTACGTATGTAACGGTATGGAGGTTGACAGTCCGGGAATTAGAGCCAGCGAAGGAAGATGGGGGCTGCTTAACTATCGCTACAGTAGCTGCAATTGATGAATCAAAATCAGGCTCGAAGCTTCCGAGAGGGGATTATGCTGGGCCCGGGATCCCCAGATGGGAAAGAGATGGTTGTGCAGAGTAGCAAGCTGTTTAACAAGTATGATAACTTGTTTTTTTCTTGATGATTTGAAAGCACAAAGCTCGTCCATTCCCCCCTCCCCGCCGCGTTATGCGTTCTGTTAAATAGTCTGGGGAAAGCGGGTCCCCGGGCTGGGTCACCTGCGCACGCCCCATGGTTGAGGGTTCCGCTTTTCGGCTGGCCGATTCGGATGGAATCTATCTTACCATTCTAGTTTCGGAAGGAGAGATATATACTGTGTCAATTGTGGATCTGGAAGAGGGGGTATTTCAAATATTCTTAGTTTGATGGGATAGTACACCACTTCGTTATTTATACCAGTTAGCCCAGAAACACCGAACAGCCATTGGGCGTGGGCATGGGCGTGGGTCTAATCCTGGCTCCAGTTACAGGAACTACATTACAGTCCGCTGCAGCCAAACAATCCAGACCCAGGTTCCAGGTCCAGGTACAGTACAGGGTTTCATGTGTATGTCAATGAGGGCTTGGCTGCCGTGGAATGTGGACATTTACTCATACTACAGGCAAAATGAACTTTACAGGGGTGAAATACAGGAATAATTGGCTGGAAGGGATCTGGAGAAGGAACCCCGTGATCTGGCCATAGGAAATTCACCCGAAATAGCCATGCCATGCCATGCCATGCCAGACGCCGAAACTTCGGCAATTGATCGAATTCGAGCTTCCAGAACCGCCCAGCCCCAGTACTTACCTTACCCTCGTGACCATTTCAAGGGTGCTTCCTTTCCGTATAGCCCGGCCTTGCCTCCTCCCCGGGTTTCCTGATTCGGTAATCCGAGATATCCACTGCGCTGCACCGCTCTGCTTTGTACACTTGTCTGGGACTCGCTCCTGGGGTAACTGGTATTATTCTATGAACATTGTACCCAAGTAGTCATCCCTATCCGGTTTTATCTGCTGTTTTTTGGGATGGTGACTTTGGCTTGGCAGAGGCTACGCGGAGAGTATGGCAACCTCCATGAGAAGAAACAAGAGTCTGGCGGCAATATCGTTACTTCATCATGATTCAACACCATCCATGTGGGAATTGACTAGCTGTCTCTTATCAATTAAGTCGTCAGTCTTGTCTCCTGCGGCCCCACGTTCGTACTGAGTTACTATGTAAATTATAGTTCCTGTAGAATGGAACCTGGAATGGTAATACCTCTATCTCGTGTAGTGCTTCATCTCACATATCGGAAATGGCTACCATGCTTCACACTTGCCACGACTGCTGGACTGGACCCAAATCCGATCACGCATTCCCCGGGTCTGGACCGCGGGCCACTATTCCCCTCGCTGCCATTGCTATTTCTCCGGCCTCTGTTTTGTCCTCATGACCTCCCCCTCCCCCATTGCCAGGACTACTAGGCCCGGGGATTGTCCTGCTTTCCTATTGCGGCAACTCCTGGAGTCATTGTGAATTATTTAAGAAGCTCCTGCGCCCATCGCCTTCCAGTCTCCCCAAACCATCAACCTTGCCGTCTGCGTGAACCACCCGAGCTTTCAGCGAACTACGACGTCTCTGCGAAGTTATTCCTGCCTCTACCTCTCCCAGACAGTTCAAGTACACTACACAATGTCCCTGTCCCTTGAGACCACCGACGTTGCTCCCGCTCCGGTCCCCGTCCCGGTACAGGATGGCCCAGCTCTCGGCTCCAAGTCGCGGATGCCCGAGTTCAGCCTAGCTGGGAAGGTGGTCTGCGTCTCCGGAGCCGCCCGCGGTTTGGGGTTGACGCAGGCCGAAGCTCTGCTCGAAGCCGGGGCCAAGGTGTATGCGCTTGACCGTCTCGCGGAACCAGTGAGTTTGCATTACGACAATAACCAGCTGTCAAACTGATCGGAGATCCTCTAGTCCCCCGAGTTCGCCATCATCCAGAAACGCGCGCAAGCGGAACTGGGAACAGAGCTACACTACCGTCGCATTGACGTGCGCGACACGGAGCTGCTGAACACCGCCATCGAGGCCATCGCCAACACGGAGGGCCGGATGGATGGGCTGGTCGCCGCCGCGGGGATCCAGCAGGAGACCTCTGCGTTGGAGTACACGGCCGAGGACTCGAACCGGATGTTCGAGGTGAACGTTACAGGGGTGTTCATGACCGCGCAGGCCGTCGCAAAGCAGATGATTCGCTTTGGGAACGGCGGCAGCATTGCACTGATTGCCAGTATGAGTGGTACAATCGCCAATCGGGTATGTGCCTGTTCGACGTGACATCTCCAGTTTCCCCGCTTTTTTACCGCCGCCACCCAGTCTCCTTCCTTGTCATCTTGACATCACGTACGTTCCCCCGCTGACTGTTCTGAAAAAGGGTCTCATCTGTCCCGCGTACAATGCTAGCAAGGCTGCTGTGATCCAGCTGGGTCGCAACCTCGCCATGGAGTGGGGGCAGTACAATATCCGGGTCAATACGATCTCCCCGGGATATATCGTGACGGCGATGGTGGAACAGCTGTTTGTGCAGTTTCCCGAGCGTCGTGAGGAGTGGCCGAAGCACAACATGCTGGGCCGACTGTCCACGCCCAACGAATACCGGGGCGCGGCGGTCTTCCTCCTCAGCGACGCCAGCAGCTTCATGACGGGCAGCGATCTGCGCATCGACGGCGGCCATGCCGCGTGGTAGATGTCTGTTTCCAGTGCTTGTTTTCTATGTGCTTCTTGTTGCTGTGTCGCATGGCGTTCATCTGTAAGAGCGAAGCGTTGATTGACTGGGATAATTGTTTACAATGACGCACAACTTTTAAAGAGGGGGATGAATCTCTCATTTTCCTGTTTAGCGTTACTGGTGTCTGGGTTATTCAACTTTAGATCATTGCAAGTTGTATCTAGTATGACCACATATGTACACAGTGGTCCATAATCTAATGAAGGCTGATCCTTTGAATCTGGGGATTATCCACCCACCATTTCGCAATCTAAGCTCTTGGCTCTTGGCTTACTGGGCTCAGTTCTATAAGTAGCTCATATGAGCACTTGTAGATCAACCCACCTACTTGGCACCCGATCTGGCATGTCAGCCTGGATGCACATGACCCACCCACCTTATTCTTTGACATATCATCTGCCAGATTCCCTACCAGTACCCAATCTGGCCATCTTTCGGGACGGACAGTCATCAGCGGTTACCTACCAGCACAGGTAAACGGTCCAGAATTACACTGGAAGGAAGAGAAGAGCAATACCCCCTTCCGGACTCATGACCCCAGACCCTCCCTCCATCCGGGGAAATAAACTCTGTGCCCCGCACTCATCGCCGACCCACGCGATCTTCACTTTTCGCCCCCCCCCCCGCATGAACTGTTAGTTACTCCTTCCCAAGGTTTCGGTTTCGGTCTTGGTTCCAATTGACAATCCAGGTTATGGAGGATGACATCAGCCACGTGTCGTTGACGTCATGGGGGATCACCTATAACCGGTAAGATATTTAGTATAGTCTGTAGTGTAGGCTGATTTCTTCCAGTATCTTTTTCGACTCCGGAGAACACAGTGGAATGGTCAATTGCTTATTCGAATTACAGTAGAAATGCGGAGCTAGACAGTGGTTCAGTGCAGTGTAATCAGACACACCAGGGTATCTCAATCGGTACATACTAGCGCAGCACACTGCCCGCTAAACCGGAGTATATATAACTGTTAGTACTGTACCCAGTGCCACCACCCACAGGCACTAGTCTGAAAGTGTGTTCTCTCCGGCTAAAGCCAACCTCGTTCGTGGCTTCGCCCGGGCCCCTTCATAGATTTACCGAATGGGGGGTTATGTTCTAGCCCTGGCAGAAACTCCTGTTCTGTTCTCTTGGTATGCACGAGTGCATCAACATCAACCCCAGATCGAATGTTCCGAGCATATTCGTTCTTCGGGTGTGCAGTGGAAAGGAGTCGGATGGGTGGTGGGGTTCAACCGCTTCTATTATGCGCGATGTACAGTATGGTCCTTACGTGGGTGGTATTTCTATATCTTTCGGTCTAGGCGTGCTGCTCGTGGAATCACCTGCGGGTCTGGCCTGCTAGGTGGCAATCTGTGGAGCGAGGAAGGACACTAGCCTGGGGCTGTGGTTGGTTGGGGTCGGTCTTGCAATCCCTTTTGTGTTGTTGATATGGGACATCAGGTATAGCTCTCTGGTCGGATGCGTATGGCAAGTGGTAACTTAATTTCTAGTGTGTTAGATGATTAGGGGTCTAGTGATGTAGGTAATCGTGTTTCCGTAGGAAACAATCAAGTTTATCATCCCATGAATATCCATTCATAGATTCACAGGGTGTGGTTAGGTAGGTACAATGTACTGCACCGGTACAGTAGAGGCCAGTAGTTGTGCAGCCTTAGCCTCGAACCCGAGTCTACATCAAGTCATCCAGAACCCTCTGGTAAAATAGCAGAAATGCACTAGCTCTGACTCTCGGATAAACCCCAGACGGGAACTCCCATGTCAGAAAGATCCAGAGGCTGGAATTCCCTCCAAACCAAGTTGAAGGCTGATTGCTCACATAGTTTTCAATGGTTCAGTGGAAGCAAAAGAATTGTCTAATACGTTGTTTGAATCAACTGAAACAGAAATAGCAGCGGAAGACATCAACAATCCTCGATGGTCTAACGGTCATGATTTCCGCTTGTCAATCTCAGCCCGAGAACAAGCGCGGGAGACCTGGGTTCGACTCCCAGTCGGGGAGATTTCTTTTTTTTTTTCACTGGCTTTTCCAGCGCCTTCGGGTACCTGTTGCCGGGATTTTGAGTGTCTTGCTGCGTCTTGAATTGGGGGTGGGGTGTGATTCTCGAATGTGCAGAGGTGGCATCTACATGCGATGAAGTACGTTCTGGATTGGAGCAGCAGCAGCAGCAGGGTTGACCTTCGGCCGCTCCGCTTGCATACTGCCGACTAAGCCAAAAATGCTGTGAGACTCACAACTTCGCATGTCAAACACAATAGAAAGTGTTCGGTTACGTCGCTAAGTATGTAAGCCACCACTCGTACGACGGCTGTACTTCGTCTCTAAAGGTCCGAGGATAATTGAGAATTAACAGCGAGACTATCAGCGGTGTCGAACATGTGCTGCATAGCAATATCGACCTGCACGATACCCACGACCAACAAGAATCCCACCGGTAATACACCCTGCGGTACGCACAACCCTAAACCTGCAGCTTCTTTCCTGATGTACTTCGACTTTCCCGGGGATTTGGGGAGATTGGCTAATGCTGGGAGTATGATTTGAATAAAACAGCTCTATTTGCTTCATCAGATGTAGCTTTCGTATGCAGACTAACATGGATGCGCAGCAGGATAACCGGATCCTTCAGAGACTTTTGCTACTGATCTAGATTTTAAACTATTTGTTCACGAACCAGGGTCTAAAGCAGTCCATCTTTGTGGGTTCGAATCCAGTGCTCTGCGTATCAGGAACCCACCAATCTCACCCCACCCCTCGAGGTCCAGATCCCGCTCAATTTTCTCCACTTCTTCGCTATCTTCTTGGCAAAGACAAAACCCCCCAACCGAACCAGGCAACACTGCGCTGCCTGGGAAGTTAATAGACTCTAGACTTACTTCGTCGGTACACAAATCATCTACATATATGTAGCCCGCATCTCTCCATACGTAGCACTCTCTAGATCTTCCACGCCGTGATCAATCTACCATCCAGCTACAACCTTCCATTGGAAGGCCAAAATGCCCTCCCTCCTCCATCTCCCCAACGACGTCCACCTGCTCATCCTCTCCTACCTCCACCATGACTGCCGCGCCCTCGCTCTAACCTGCCGCACCTTCCACCGCCTCTGCGACCTCCCCAGCCGCAGGCGATTCCGGCGCGTCCGCGTCCAGCCGGGCAAGGCCCTCGACCGCGCGTTCGATCTCCTACTGGCGATCCTCCGGCGGCCGGGTCTGGGCCGGTACGTGCGCCACCTTGAGTACCAGGGGACGGTGGAGGCGCACGTGCCGTACGAGGAACAGCCTGGGGACCGGGAGGCGGGGCTACGCGACGAGCCGGGGACGATGGAATTGCTGCGGGCCGCCGTGCAAAGGGCGATTGGGGTGGATGAGAACGATGCAGACGAACAGAGAACGAAATTGGCGGCGCAGGTCATGAACATGCTGATGCAGTCGTCCGAGCAGCGGAACAAGGGGGGGTGGAATTATACGTGAGTTTCTTTTTTTTTTTTTGCGGGTTCTCCGCGAGCAGTGACAAAGCTGATGATGGGTCCAGGTGTCGAGGTATGCACGGGATCTTTGCGGTTCAGGCGGTGGCGGCGCTGCTCGTCTCGGTGGCTCCAGACCTGGAGTCCATGGCGCTCGTGCAGCCCTTCTTCAATTACACGGGGTTCTATCACACGGAAGGGCGGTTCGCGAACCAGAACCGCGTGGCGTTTCCGCTGGACTACATCCTGCGCCGGGCGAACGGCGAAGAGGACGCGGCGCCATTTCTGCGCCAGCTGCGCCGCGTCTACTTCATCAACGTGGGCCACGGGTGGATGGACGACGAGCGCTTCTACACGAGCATGGACTTCCTCGGGATGTTCGCCCTCGTCGACCGGCTTCCGTCGATTGAGACCGTCAGCACCGACGTCCTGTCCGAGGATGAAAATGGCAAGCCTGGGCTGGCGGTGAACTCGTCCAACATCAGCCGGATCCGCATCAACCATTCGGCCGTCGACACGATGTATCTCGCGTCGGTGATCTGTGCGTGCAAAAGGCTCAGGGAGCTCCAGTTTTCCGGGGGGGGAGGGCTTCCTCGGACGGAAGCAGTCCGATGCAGAACCCCAAGACTTTCCTCCAGACGCTTCTCTTACACAGGGAGACATTGGAGGTCCTTGATGTGGATTTCGAGGCCAACATAAGTGAGTTCTGGAATGATGACGATGAGGACACGGAGCCGGATTTTGATACATACGGCGGACGGTCAGATGCGCATCATAGCTGGACGGGCGCGCCGCCGGACGAGCTGTGGGAGCAGAAGGGCTCGTTGCAAGATTTCACCTCCCTGACCCATGTGAGCCTGGGACTCAAGACTCTGCTATACATGGCTAGAGGGGTCGACTCAGCCAGACCGTCAGACTTCAAGCTGGTCGATCAGCTGCCGCCTAATCTGGAGTATCTGCTTATCCGGGGCTACGAGAGAGGTCTTCGCAAAGACCACGACGAGCATATAGATGGCTTACTGTCCTTGAAAGAGAGCGAGAGTTCCAAGCTGCGAGAGATTAGGGGCGTTGACGAGTTGATCCCGCACGCCGAGGACGTTGATGAGCCCGACGATGAGTCGGCTGCGTTGTGGGAGTGGGAGGAAGAGGAATGGTCAGAGGATGAGTGAGAGGATTCGCGTGTAGAGGTGTATGTAGCCCTCTCTGTCCTGATAAACAGTGGCTGCAGATATCGGGCCGATGGCAGCTCCACCCCATACTCTTCTGTTCCTAACCGAAGGGCGCAGTTCGGTTGCACCCGACCGGCCGCCCAATCATGAAGCTTCATCTTATCATCTTATCCGCGTCCCAACACATCAACTGATAAGATCGAGTTGTTGCTGCTTGCAACGTACCTGGCAGTCTGTGTAATAAACCAAAATACTTATCGCATCCTCAATGGGTCGCCAATGAGGTCGATGGTCGGCTCAGCAGAGTGGAGGTACGAAAACAAACACCAATTTCGGTGGGGTAAATACACTATGGCATAGACACCACCATCCTCGGCTGCGTTCTATCGACTTGGCGCAGCAAACCTCCGCGATGGAGGGAAGAACCTTATAAGTAGAGAGCTGAGACCTTAATCATGAGTAGCCAGTCGAGCATCCCTTCTTCTATCCTGTATCCCTCCGGTTGAACCGGATTTTTCTCCATGGCTCGTTTCCCGCGATCTGCATTGGGCTTGTCTGCGCCATGCCTGATGGGATTGATCAGCTCTGCGGCAGCGCGGTTGGTATCCACAGGCATGTCTGTCACGCTTCAAGACATTGATTACTTCATCTCCCCATATGCCGCCGGGAATGTGACTATTTCGTCTGCTCTGTTGTCCCAGGTCCCAAGCGTCAATGGATTTGCCCCGGTGACTGTCGTGCAAGAGGACACGGCCGAATTGTCCTCGCTATCCTCACTCTTTTCCACATGGTCGACCAAGGATGACGTGTTCACGGACGCATTTCTCGACGCTGTGTTTGTCCGCAGTAGCCGGCACAGTTCTGCCAATATCACCTCGCTAAAAGAAGGCCAAACGAGTGTTGTGGTTCCCCTCGAATCCAGATCGGTTCCCTCAGGTCCGTACTTCATCGAGCAGACCACCGGCAAGCTGTACCCCGTGTACCGTCTATACAGCGACTTTGCTGGAGCATTCAACCAGCCTCTTCTGCAGAAGCCCGACGGCACATTCCAGCCTCTGTCGGCCCAGGTTGCGGGCGTAGCATCAGTCACAGTTGGCGTGCCGTCTCGGCTCTACTACACCCCAACCGAAGACAAGCCCCTGGCTGGTGTCCGGGTAGGCATCAAGGACATCTATAGCCTCGCAGGCGTCCGACAGAGCAACGGCAACCGGGCATGGTACAATCTGTACGGTGAGAACAACGTCACCGGCACGGCCGTCTCGCGGATCATCGAGGCCGGAGGCATCATCGTCGGCCTGCAGAAGCCCTCGCAGTTCGCCAACGGAGAGACCGCCACGGCGGACTGGGTGGACTTCCACGCGCCCTTCAACCCTCGCGGGGACGGCTATCAGGACCCGTCGTCCTCTTCGTCTGGGGCCGGGGCCTCGATCGCCTCGTACGACTGGCTGGATCTGGCCTTGGGCAGCGACACGGGCGGTTCCATCCGCGGACCCGCCGAGGTCCAGGGAATATTCGGCTCGCGGCCGTCGCACGGCCTCGTAGCGCTCGACAATGTCATGTCTCTATCCCCCGTCCTCGACACGGCGGGCTTCCTCACGCGCGACCCGTACCTCTGGGACACGGCCAACCAGGCGCTGTACAGCACCAACTACTCCTCCTTCAGCGGCAAGGCCGTCAAGTACCCCGACACGCTGTACACCCTGAGCTTCCCGACGACCAACGACTCCGCCAGCGACGCGATGCTGCTGGACTTCCAGCAAAAGCTTGCCGCCTTCCTGAACACAACCACCACGCCCTTGAACCTGACCGCGGACTGGACCGCCAACCCGCCGGCCGAGGCCCCCTCCGACGTCACCCTCCCCACGCTGCTGAACCTCACCTACGCCATGTTGATCAGCAAGCAGCAGATCTCGCTGGTCCGGGATCCCTTCTACGCCGACTATGCAGGTAAGCACCCATGCCCAATAAAGACCATACCCATCCATTCTCAACTCACCCCACTAACACCCCCCTAGCCAAACACTCCGGCCGCCTCCCCTTCGTCGACCCCGTCCCCGTCTCGCGATGGAACTGGTCCGAAGCGTACCCGGCCTCCGCCCTCGACGAGGCCATCACCAACAAAACCATCTTCATGGACTGGATGGCCGCGAACTACCTCCAGCGCGTGGCCGATCCGGAGCAATGCTCCTCGTCGCTGATGGTGTACGTGGGGTCGGCGGGGCCCGAGGCGGGGGCCGCGCGGAACCTCTACCGCTCCCTGCCCGGCGCCCCGCTGGGATGGGGCAGTAGTCGCATCTCCAACATGGCCGAGGTGCCGGATTTTGTCCTCCCCGTGGGCGAGGTCGCCGCGTACAGCAGCATCACCAACCACGACGAGAAGTTCCCCGTCACCGTGGATGTGATCGCCGCCAAGGGCTGTGATGGGTTGATCGTGCGGCTGGCGCAGGATCTGTTGGAAGCCGGGATTATTGCGAGGCCGTTGACCGGAGGGACGATGGGTGGTGGGGAGGTTTTGCTTTAGCATGCTTGCCAGCAGGGGTCGGGCGAGGTCCGTCCTTGGTGAGTCTTTCACGACTGTAAATATGGTAAATATATATGATGTTGCGAGCTTGTGGTGTGATTGGAAGATGAAAGAGGAGATCAGTATACTATGAGATAGCTTGCAGGGAGGAGGAGGATTGTATAGATAATAGATTTGATACCTGGGGCTGATGTTGAAGACTAAGACCTTGCTGCTCATGCTTGAGATGTTTTCTGATAAATGTAGAAGATTAAATAGTGTCTTATCTGACGTGTGGAGAGCGAGTAAGGTGATGAACGAGGTTGAGGTGGAAGTTGCTGCTGACGGGAGGAAGACAGGCGATGATGTCTCAGTCGGCAGGTGACTTTTGTCTTGCGTCCTCCCAGATCACGGTACATGACATCCCGCCAAAGCACCCTCCACCTGGAGTATCTTCATATAGAAAAAAGTATTGTACAAGTGATGTTGTCAGTGCTCTTCACACACTCGACTAATAGAGCTATGGTAATGCATATCTACCATTCCTGGATGATAGAAAAGCATTAGATTGTTATCTTACAGTTCAAGTCCCCAAACCATCACACCACTACCGTAGCCCCATCATGCACAGTCCTCCCCCTAAGGAAAAACACCTCAGAAGACAAACCGCAACCGCCTGACAAGACAGCAATCGAACCCATCCTGGCTGCTATCTTAACCAAGATCCCCCACCACCCCCTTAGCCCCCAACCGCTTTACCACCCCACTTTTCAACCGCATCACCCGCTCAATCTCCCTCGCCGGCAGACCCTGCCGATCCCGCATGGCCAACACCTGCCGGATCGTCAACGCATCCAGATACTCTCGTCCGACAAAGTCCGGCCTTCCCAGGTTGTCCACTTCTTCCTCCGCCGCCTGGGTGATCCGTTGCCGCGCCGTGACGGTCAACAGGGCTGGGTTCGGGGCGGGCGCGAAGGCGGTCGTCGGGGCGCCTGGCCCCCCGAAGGATCGCTGCGCGGGGTTGAAGGTGCTCGAGGGAGAGAAGGTTGGGTTCGGGGTGACGGGGCCGATGCTGCGGAGGGAGGCGGCGAAGTCGGGGTCGCGGCCGTCGATGTCGATTGCTAAGTTGTGTTCGAACTGTTAGCTTTGCGACTTCCGGGGAAGGGGGTTGTGGTAAGACAATTTGAAGGTTTAGGATGAAGGGAAGGCAAGGGAAGGCAAGGGAAGGAGGACCGTACCGCTTGATTTCTCGAGGGACGCTTGCTCTTGGTTTTTGGGGTAGTATGTTGCAGGTCTCGAGGAGCTGGGTTGTGGGCTGGGGCGAGGACTGCGCTGCGGCTGCTCGTGAAGCCTGGGTTGTGGTTGCGGTTGTGGTTGTGGCGCTCGCGGTGCTGATGCGGGTGTGGAGGTGGGAGGTCTGGAAGTGGATGTCGTGGGCTGTTTGGGATATTGACGCCGTGAAGCTGCCGCCGCTGCGGACTTCACGGGTTTCGACGCTGATGCACCCATGGTGTTGGGAAGCAAGTGTGAGATTCGTTGCAGTGTTTAGCCTCAGCTTGTGAAGACTGCGGCGGATCAACCGCCGTTGCGTCTCTTCTGCAGAGGATCCGATCTGTCAGGCTAACCCGATCGGGGTTACACACTAGCCGCGCGGATGACGTCAGCCATTTCCGATGTTTTTATATGTAAACTAAGATACGGGGTACTGCTAACGGCTATGAGGTTGGTGTCGTCCTGCAGGATTTGATAGCTGGAATGTACACTTTTCTTCTACACTGATACAACTAGTCATCCGACCACGAGCTAGATGACGTCGGATACACCCAAACAACCGATAATGCCACACCCAGACTCTCGACCCGCAACACTGAGCAATTTACCGCAGGCCGGCAAGCCGTCTGCCCTGGACCTCACCGAGAGCACGGCTGCCGCTGACGAATGCGACGGTACCAGCCACCGCGACAGCAGGAAGGATCTGGAAAAGGTTCCAGGAGGTATAGTACAAGAAGAAGATGCCCTGGATGGAGAAGAGGGAGCCGAGGAAGACTGCGTGGGGAAGGGGAGCCGACTTGAAGGCAGTAGGGAGGTGGTTCAAGTTGACGCCGAGGACCAGCCACTGTATCAGAGGAGAATTAGCCCTCCATCGAGGCGGCAGCAGAGAAGAACAACTTACCACTCCGCCCAGAACCGGAAGGGCAGCAAGCACCAGAGCGAGGAAGACCAAGGTGATGACCAAGGGAGGACTCTGAGCATCGGTCTTGAAGATGTGGTGGATCTCCGGAAGCTTTCCGTAGCGCGACGACTCGACGGTGGGTACAGGCTCGTCGGGGTTCCGGGCCACCGTCAGCTTGAATGCAGCTCCGTTGTAGGCGTCGGCCTCGCCAAAGGATCCGATCAGGACTCGCGCATCGAGGGGTTCGGAGACGGAAAGGAATTGAACGGGCAAGTCCTTCTGGGTCTAGCATGCACGTCAGCCTTGTTTCATCCGGTCCAGAGTTGCTGGATAAGCACTGACCAGCTCAATTCTGGATTTGCCATTATCCTTCACGCTGAAGGGATAGGAGATATCCAATCCGGTCTCAGAGTCCTGAAGAAAGAGGAAAACCTGGTGCGCGCGTTTGGCGGTGCGGCCTTCCTGGGCTGTCAAAGTCACCTTCAAGGTGTCGGCAGATCCGAGGGAGACCGGCTTGGAGAGAGCTTTGTTGTCGGGAATTCTGTCAATGGCACAAGAAGATTAGCATCATAGACCTTTCCTGTAATTTTCGCCTTGACACTAATTGTACATACGCTTCCTTGAATCCAGCGCCGACGCCAGCGCCTTTGGTGTGAACTGACACGGTGGCATCAGTGAATCCCCACGCGGAAGCAGCTACAGCGGTCGGCAGGGCGGTCGAAGCCAGCACGGACAGCTGAAGGAGAGAGTGCCACAGCTGCATTGTGATGTCTGATTGAGGAGGGAATTGGGGGGGGAGAAGAGGAAACGCAACGACCGAAAGCAAACCGCAGGAAACGAAAGCTGGGCTGTGGAGGAATTGATGCGGTCGGCGGAGAGACCAGATGATAGTTAACTACGGGGAAACAGTCTTACTTGGCCAGAAAGGCAGAAAAAGGCCGACCGACCGAGCGACACGCAAGCCCGCGCGGCCAGGTTCGGCGCTAAGATAAGCGCCCGCGCGCGTGCATTGGGGCAAGCAGCGGTCCAGTGACCACCGGCTTCACCGCCCGCCTGCCTTTACTGCGCAAGCCCTAATTTCCCGGCCGTCTCGATGGGAGGTTTCGGCCCTGGCTTTGCTTGCTTGCTTGCTCTGCTTGCTTGCCTTGCCTTGCCTTTGCCAAACATAATTCTTTCCTCTCCGCTCCCTCCATCCCCCAAACTTCTCGACCAGGCTTTGTCCTGCAACTAGTTGCGCGGTCGCAAGACTTCCGATCGACTGGAAAGTCGCTTCTTTACCTGTGCGCCATGTCTTTGACCCCTCTCCTTTAGTTCCGCGACGAACCTCCCTGCGCTTGCAGTGCGCCTTGAACGTTCCGGGGTTTCCCTCGCCTCTCCGCCCCAACCGATCGGGTCACGCGGGTTTCTCGATCGCAAACCGCCGACGCTGAGCGAAATCACTTGCATGCGAAGTGAATACAGTATAAGTAGGGATCCCTCTGCGGTGTTGGGTTAAACCAGGCGGGTGTCGTTTTGGTGTGCGTGTCAGCTTTCCCAGGAGGTTGCCGCTTCCTGCTTTCTTGCTCCGGGTTTACCGCAACCCTCGGTCCTGTCTGGTTTCGCATTTCACTGACAACCACCGCCCAACCTTGCAGGCAAACTCCAAGCCCAGTCCGACCGTCGCCTTCACTGCGAGACTCCAACAACTGTAGCGAAAACCCACGATCAAGCATTAACAACTCATTGCCTATCAGCTCCGTTGCACTCCGAACCGGTGAAAGTGGTGCTGCGATACTAGGGCTGAACCGGGGCCCGATACCTGGACACAAGTAACGAAAGGGCTGGGGAAGTTGGTGAACCAAGCACAGTCAAAAGTAAGAAGAATACAAGAGCGTCCAGTTTGGCTAGGCAACAGTTCATTCACTCCAGAACACTTTTGAAAGGAACATGTGACTTTGGAGGGGGGGGGGAGTGGCTTATTTAGTGAATGCAATGCTAATAACACGACAGTGGTGAGTAGGGCTTCACTGGCCAGGGAACTCGGTTCCCCCGCCGCGTTCTCTCTCGACCCAACAACTCCTGTATGTTGATCCAGTTACTCTCTACCCATACCCCATCCTCAAACCCGTGCTTACCCAGCTTCCAGCGTGAGACTCGACGAAGCTCATCTCGTGCGTCACGTAAAACGACCCGTGAACCTGAATCTCACGCCTCAAATCACTCTCAATCATCCTACTCTCTACCTCCGACTCCTGTCACTACCTCATTTGAAGAATCTTTCCCGTCGGCCAAACGACGCAAAACGCAACGATCTGTGAATCAAACCACGCAGACTCCCAAAGGAAAGGAATCCACGGAGACTCCTAATACGTCTACTTCCAAGGGACCTGTGGTCTCATCTCAAGCCACTGACAGTGTCTCCAAGAGGAGGGACCGAAATCGAAAAGCCGTGACTTCCAACAGTGAGCTGACTTCCAACACCGGCTCTCCCAGTGAACCGGCTGTTCCTCAGACCAAACCGCGTCCAGAACAGTCGCAATCAACGTTGCATCACTTTCTGCTGAAGAAACCTCAACCGAAGCGGCAGTCTTTGGCGACTACTACTCTCCCTACTTCTACCTCCACCCCTCGTGTTACTTCCTCTGCTTCTTCTACCCCGCGTGCCTTGTCCACGTCGGCTTCTACACCCCGTGTCACTTCTACTCCTGTCAGTACTCGCAAGGATCGTAATCCCAAGAGCGCTGAGACCCCAAACTCCAACGTCGCGAAAACTCCTGCGGAGATCAAGACTGAGTCTGCACCTGCGGAAACTGCTACCAAGCTCTCCAGTACGCAGGACAAGAATTCATCCAAACCTCAAACACCTATTGCACCATCTCGCCCGTCTACCCCTCTCGTCTCCACCAGTAGAGCGCGCCGTACGGGCCGCAAAGCTGCCGGTACCACCAACCCCAGTCGCTTGAACCCAGCCACTGAACATACTCAATCCACTCCGGTCGAACAGATATCAACTCCAACCACATCATCCGAAATGGGCAACGCCAAGTCCGTCCCTTCCCGTGCCTCCAAGAAGGGGAGCACTCGACCTCAGCGCAGCAGTCGTCGCTCGCTGATTGAGCCCGGAACTCTTAGCCAAACCCCCAACTATCTGAACAGCAACAACAACAAAGTCAGCGACCGCTCCTCGGGCGCAGGGTCGCTCACCCCCGCGCTGCAGTTTGGCCGGGAGCTCGCGGAGAGCATTGAATCCACCACCCCAGCCTCCGACGACAAGGTCCTGGGGGATTTCGGGACTCCGATTCCCGACGAGAACAACACCCCCGGCGCGACTCCTTACGGGGATAGCTTCCACTTCGAGTATGACACAGATATGTACCGCAACAACTTTGGCCTCGATGGGACCACTGAGACGCCCGGCTCTCCCACAGGAAGCCTGACCACGGCGACGTCAGCTGGCAACCGCATTTCCACTAGACTGCGCAAGCCGACCATCAAGGCCATGGAGTCGATCGAATCCGAGCGGCGGTTCCGCCGGCCTCCCCGTTCGGCGTCGGCTCGACCCGATGGTCCCAAAGGTCCCCCGTTGAAGTGGGATGCAGTGGCCTTAGGCATTCAGATCTTTGATTTGGCAAATGCGGCTCTTGCTCCTGAGTCTGAGGCTGTCGCAGAAGCGGAGAACTGGCTGGCTGAGCTTCGCAGTGAGTTTGAGGTCAAGCATGCAGAGAGGGAGAAGGTGCGCCTGGAGCGGGAGAGACTGGAGAAGGAAAGGGAGGAAACGGAGGAGAGGGAGAGGGAGTTGAGAAAGAAGGATGAGAAAGAACCCGCGGAAAAAGAGGCTCAGGAAAAGCCAAATGGTCAAGCGGATGTTGCGGAAGAGGAAATTGATGTGATGGAGAAGGAAGGTGATGTGATGGAGAAGGACGTGGTGGAGAATGGAGAGAAGAACGAAGCAAAGAAGGCGAGCAGTGAGCCGGAAATCACAGAGAAGGCCAATTCAGAGAAGGCCAATTCAGAGGAGGCCAATTCAGAGGAGGCCAATCCAGGGGAGGCCATTCCAGGAGCCAATCCAGAGGCCATTGCAGAGCCAAATGCAGAGCCCAATGCAGAGCCAAATTCCGAGAAAGAATCTGCGGAGAAGAACTCTGCGGAGAAGGACTCCGTGCAGAAAGAGAAAAGCGAGGGCGAGGCTGAGAAAACCAGTCCACCTGCGGAGCAGCTTTCGAAAGTGTCGAGACCACAGAGACCGGTGCGTGCAACACGCAATAAACGGCCTCTCACCGAGGAGCAACCCTCAAAGGAGACAAAGACCAAGGACAAAGCAAAAGCGAGAGGGGCCAGTAAGCCAACCTCCTCGGGGGACAAGTCGAAGGAGTGGACTGACGAAGACGGCTTCACGTACACAGGCCAAGTCAATAAATTCGGCGAGGAACTGGTGTATGTTGGCGGCGAGTACGAATGGTATCGACCCAACAACACTTACGGGGATGACAAGCTGCCGCTGCCTCCTGTCCGCCTCATTTCGCGCGACCAGCTGGAAAAGGACCGTATCTTTGGCTTTCCCCCTCTGATGGGCGAGAGAAACATCCCACGTGCGACGCACATGCCCTTCACCTATGAAAACGTTTATGAGGAACGCGCGAAGATCAAGGCCCGGGATGAAGCGCGCAAACGTGGCATTGAAGTGGACCGGTTCATGCCCTCTGCTGTCATTCACGCCCTGATAGCTGAGCATGACAAGACCTCGAGTGACAAGGGGAAATCCGGCTCAGGGGTGGAACACAAGGGCCCGGCTCCGCGCAAGCGACGCCGTGGCGCAGAGCAACCCACCGAGGCCGCACAAGCCGCCAAACGACGTCGCAAGGAGGACACTCCCCCTCGCGCGGCAGACCAGCCCAAGACTCTGCGCATCAAATTGACTCTGAAGGGCGCAGCAGCGGCAGCCGCGGCGGCGGAAAACGCCGGCTCTCCAAAGGACTCATCGAAGAAGCGCACCCGTTCTGAGATCGAGACCGCGCCTGAAGCAAACGGTGTTCCAGACAGCAAGACCCCACAGGGCCGGCCTTCAAAGCTTCTCAAACTCTCCGGCCTGCGCCGTGATCCAGTCTCGACTCCGGCCAAGTCGACGGCGACCCCAGCCACGCCCGGGGGCGGGAACAAAAACACCACTGCTACACCTGCGCCTGCTCCTGTGCCTACACCTGCCACGGCCCCCGCCCCCCAGGCTTCGACTCCGGTCACCGAAGCCAGTACCGCAGTCCCAGGAACTACTCCTGGCGGCCGGCCCCGGCGGCGAGCCGCAGCAGCCTTGATGGCGGAATTCCAGACTCATGCGGAGCAGAGGGCGCGCCGCGCCAACGCCCGCAAGAAGGAGCCCACCACCTAGGTGGCCCGGCCTCTCCCCCTTCTACCTACCGCGTTCCACACACTCAGACCACCAGCGCAACTCCCTCTTCCGTCTAGCTCGTACTCATTCCTTCTTTGCGACTATCGACTTTTCGAAGTGAGACCAGAGAGAAGAGCGGGTGGTGGGGAAGGGAGGGAACTCCGGCCTCCATTATCCCACACGTCTCATGCGCTGTTATCCACACAATGCACGATTTGTGCTAGAGCCAGGTTACTCCCTTATTTTGTATCTCGACCCTGGGCTGCGAGACGTCAACGATCGAAAAAGAATCCGCTTCAAGAACAGTATCGACAAACAATCCGACCACGACGATTTTAGCACTAGCACGGTGAGGGTGAAAACCGAAGGCCCTTGAGAGATGAAACGGAACGGTGGAATATGAAGAACGAGCGGAATCGACCCCTGCTGAGGCGGATGGACTTGTCAGAGGGGGCATGAACACAGAGCAGAATGGGGGAGGAAACAGCATCACCTGGCTTTAAGGTTGTCCCAACATACCAAGATTCGAGACATGTTACCGGCTGAGCACTATTACTTTGTCCCTTTTATTTCCTTTTTCCTTGCGATAAATCTTGCGAATTAGCTGAGCATAGCGATTGTGTTTCTATCATCATCATCATCATCATCATCAGAGGAGGAGGAGGACGAGGATCATCGTGCCATGGAAGGAGATATGGCTTTTGCTGTCGTGTTGGGTTATGGGAACTCGGGATTCGATCATACCTACTACTATTATCCTCTTTTCTTCCGCTCTTGCGCACTGATGTCTGTACTGGTATTCGGGATGGGGCACTCGGATATAAGGATTGTGAGCTGGGGAAGAAAAACTGGCTGCATGCTGTGATTTGTTGCACGTTGCACGTTGCATTTCGACCTGCGGATGCTTTTGTGTGTACGTGTGTGCTTGTACTTTTATTGAATTGGGATAGGATTGGGGGTTCATGGTTCATGGTTCATGATGCATCTTGCGATGAGATGGAGAAAGCTGGAAATGAGGACACGGAGACCAGCGGAACTGTATTGCACAGGAATTTGAGACGGTGCAAGTCAATCGGAATTTGAAGATAAGAAGCTGTCGCCAGTGACAGGTGGTTTCAAGAACGCTGCGAAGTGAAGTGTAGAGTGTAGCGACTAACCCATCACCATCAACCCAGTGTTTCCTGCAATTCATGCCTCAGGCCCCAAGGCTGTCAACTTTCCCAGAAAAAGAATTTCCCTTCCGGCTGGCGACAAGCAACCAAACAACATCAAATCACCATCAAGACATCTATCTGGTATTGATCTCTTACTACTGCTCCTGGAACATCCAAACATAACCCCTACCCTGTCCAATCAAACTCTCTCATCTATTCATACTATTCATTCCACTTCCCAGCTCTTCCACAAAATAAAGGCAAGGGCGAGGAAGAAAGAGAGAAAGACAATGCCCTCCACTCCCACCTCCCGCACATCCAAGCCCACCCCCTCCCCCAAGTCTCACGCTCAACCCACTTCCAAACCCACTCCCAAACGCGTCGTCTTTCCCGAAGCTCATCTCCGCCACACGCCTCTCGCCTCCCGGATCCCAGGAAGCACTGGCCCGAAGGTAGGCGGAGGCGGAGGCTCCCGCCGCCCTCCGCTCCCCGTGAACGATATCCGGCAGACGAAGGAGTATAAAGCTGCCGCTAGGAAGTGAGTCTCCCCCTCTCCCTCTCCCCCCTGCCCTTTTTTCTTCCTTGCTTGAGTTGTCTTGTCTTGATTTGATTGAAGAGCGCATGCTTGGGAATCATGGTCGTATGTTGTGTTGTGTCTCCCCGATGAGCATATACTTGCCCTATACTATCCACTTCCAATGCCCCTGCACGGGAGAGAGAGTGGAAGCTATCGACCCACAGCGCGAGTACAGCACCAGACAGCAGGACACGAAATAACTAATAAACCCAACCCCCTCCCCTGGGGGTGGCAAAACAGATGGCTCTCGACGATTGTGGCGCTGCCGATTCTGATGTATACTTCTTATATTCTTTATGAGCGGAGTATGTCACCTCCTCCTCCTCCTTCTTTTGGGTGTTGTTCCCGGGAAGGCTGTGTACTGACTCGTGTCTAGCGGTTGGGCATCAGAAGCCGAAGCGGTTGGTTGGAGGGGATGGACGGGCGCAGCAGGGGGGGTTGGATGGGCAAAGTAGAGGAGGGAGTAGCTTGGGGAATGGGGAGGGGAGGGAGTAGATCCTGTGAGGGCCTTAGTCTTGGTGCTACTAATGTGGGTTGTCTGGTTGAGGGGTGTCGGGCACCGGGTGATGGTGTATCTTGTTGACATGATGTATATTATTACTTGATCAGGCGAGGGTCGGAAGCTGTATGTTAAGCTGTATGTTTCTGGCGCAGAGTTATGGTTGTTTGACACTGTTGGTAAGCATAGGCATAGGCATAGCTTAGGACCGATATGCAGTCGGCGAAGGATACATCGGTCGCTACTCACATTTACACAAATTTCTACTTTGGGCCTACGATCTAGTAGAGCCAACTTAATCCAGCTGCAGGTAAAGCCGAGATCTTCGTCTCCGCGCTCTCTCATCCTCCGCATCGTATTCTTCGGGTTCAAGGCGAGGACGTCTTACCCTCCGCGGTCTCTCATCCGCCGCATCGTATGGCTCGTCTTCGCCTTCAGGCATCGAAAACGCGGGCTCGGTCCATTGAATCTCCCCATCGTGGATGTTGCAGACATCGAGGATCAGGCCTCCGACCTCGGGAATGTCGTCGATGACCCCGATGAAGGCAAAGATCCTATTTGGGGCCCCCCCGGCGGCAACGTTGACGTTCAGCGTCGCCGCATGGTGCTCCCGCAGAATGCGGGGGTACTGCCGTGGATCTCCTCCTCCTCGCCGACGACGACGCTGGGGTTGTTGCAGCGGACGCATGGGGAAAGTCACCGGGTTCTCCTCGGTCCTCTGGGTGTAGATGGGCTCCACATCCGGGTGCAAGACCCCGCTGTCCCGCTCGGGCGGGACGGCCGTTGTCCGCGGCGCGGCCATGCGCGCTTGATACTCTGCGTCGGCTTCCTCGGGGGTCCGCAGGAGGACATCCTCGGACGTGTGCAGGACCGAGTCGTGCTCACAGACGTGGTGGGGGTCCACGGAGGGCCCAGTGACGAACACGGCCCGCGACAGGAAGGCGCCCTGGAACCACGCCTCGACGATCAGGTCCGCGGTCTCGCGCGCGACCCTTCCTAGATAGAACTCCGGCGCCGCCGCGCTGACGCCCGGCATGACCTGCCATTTGATCTGCCAGGTCTCGGTCAGCCAGTGGTTGAACTCGGCGGGGTGGCTGCCGGCCCAGAGGGCGGCGTTCAGGGCCACCGCGTAGCGGAACTCCGGGTTGGGCGCCTGGTCGTACCAGCGAAAGTTGACGGGCGTCGAGAACGTGAGCGGGCGCTGATAGGGGACGATGCGCCGCGGGAGCTCGACGAGGGTCCGCATCAGGGACCGATTCCGGGGCTCGAAAATCGCCCCGTCCACCAGGACAAAGCCCGCCACGCGGTAGGTGGGGTCGCTGATCCAGACGTTCCATTTGGCCACAAAGTCGGCCTGGCTGGTCACGCAGACCAGTCGCGCCCAGGCGGCCAGGCGGGCGAGCACGGTTGGGTATTGCTGGACAAAACTATACCCACCCGGGCAGATCAGGAAGAGCAACCGCCTCGCGAGGCTCTGCTGGGCGTTTAGTCCGTGACGAACTGGTTGTTCCATCTGGGGTCAATTGACGTCAACAAAACTAGGGCTTTGGAGTTGTTCAGTGGGTTGGTCGAGTGGTTAAGGTACCGTGTGATGAGGATGACCAAGGTTCATTTTGGGGCCATACGGCCGACATATTTATAGACTCCAGCACACGAGAATGCTCTTTCGCTGGGACGAGAGACGCATGATCTCTCCGAGTTCCCATTGTGTCGAGGTTGAGGATTGCCGACGACGAACATTGTTCGGATTGAACCCATCTTTATTATTATTCTTGAACTTGGATGCCGTCAACTATGTCCTAGAAGCGGTGGGATTCTCAATTTTATAAATGCCTTTCAAGGGCTGAAATAAGCTCAATGGTCAGATCTCTCGTCAATGATACGAGATATAAAGAATGGGAAGAAAAGCTCCGATAGCAAGTTGTGGACAAGATGCCCATGGTGCACCGTCAACCTTCCCCACGGGGAAAGCAAGATGACAATGAATGAAATAGGACTTACCAGACAAGTCCATGGTTCTTTTTATTCCCCACCCAGAATCTTGCCGGAACTCCTGTCTTGAAACCATTTAACCGTGTATAACTAACGCTGTACTAGCTAACTAACTTGTATGAAAAAAGTAAAATCGATTTGCTCATAGAGCCCAGGTAGTCCGCATTGCTACCAGTATAGGTAGTTTAGAGATAGATAGCCAACGAAAATGCATCAACATCAGGCGAAACACTGATCCCAGTTCCCACCAGATCTAGCAAAGCTCAGTCCTCTCACAAAGTCATCCCGCTTGCATCGGCCTAGCTTATCAACCGCGCAGCCGTGCAGCGGAACCACGCGATCGTTGACTAGCACCCGCACAAGAGGCTCCGGCTGTGCTTTACACTGCATCATCTCAACGTAGGCTCGCGCACCGAATGGTACGGTCCACGCCGCCGAGAACCCATCGGTCTCTTTCATCGACTCCACCTTCGTCTTGGACAACGGTTTGGTGCCGTTGTACAGGCCCAAGGCGAAGAAGATAGGGATCATCCCGTTGTCGTGTGTGAAGTCCGCATAGAGAGTATAGTTCAAGGGGAATGTGGCCGGGCTTGAGTCCAGAGTGCGATTGGTACTTGTCTCGTCATGGACCAGGGTATGTGTCAGACGAGCAATCAACTCGTTGGTGAAGCCAACCCCTCGACTAGGGCCAAGAGGATTTCCAGCACCGTACCCGTAGTACTTCTCCAAGGAACGGAGGTAGTTGTATTGCTCCCATTCCGTATGAGTGAAGAGGTCACAGAACGGAGAGAGCTGAGTCTCCGGCTCGGACTGTGCGATAGTATCGAAGGAGCACATGTCCATGAGATAGACGACCTCCTTGGCCGTGAGGTTCGCTCCGGGGATGTTCTTCTCCAGCCGCTTCAAGATGGGCGGCGTGAGGAGGGCAGTAAAGTTGGCTACAACATCATCCCCCAGTTCGCTGTTCTCGAAGACCGTGCAGGTGCTGGGATCCAGCGAGTTATTAGCATTGGTGCTTTCGGAGATCACCACATTGACCAAGGGAGCAAGTTGACCGGGAAGGGCCGAGGTGTCATTGAGCTTCGTGTCCTGGAAACCTTGGATGAACTTTTGGCCAGATTCGATCACCCGGCTTGACCCGGATGCGCGAACGAAAGGAGTGCCGTCCCTCGCCAGAGACTCGTAGCGCTGGTAGAACTTGATTCCCGAGTTGACCATCTGCTGCACCCCGAAGGAGGTCAGATCGTCCGACCCCAAGGTGTAGTTGTAGGTCTCCAGGAACGCATAATCCCCTTTGTAAGACGTCGCACCGGCCTGGATCTTTGCGATCACTTTGGCATATTTTGCGGACTTGGATGCAGTGGGGTACCGTGCACCGTGGCGGGAGATCACTTGTGCGAAAGTGACGTGGCAGCCCTCAGGGATAGCCGGAGAGACGGACTCCTCTTCAACCGAGAAGTAAGGGGAGTACTGGCCCCAGAGATGCGAAATCTCGGAGAAGCAATTATAGCCCCCATTGACACTGTCGCAGGTCGAGGAGCTCTGCTTGGGGGATCTAACCACCGGACCGGCGGATGCTCTGCCAAGGTTGGATGGGGCGGTAAGCAACATGTATAGGAAAATGGGGAGAGTCAGGTTCTACATACCCGGAGAGGAGGTAGAGCGAGAGCAGAATGGTAAAGAAGCCCATTGTAACCGCAATCACAATTTTTCTGTTCGCATAAAACCACAATTGACGAGGTCTTCCACCAGCGAACTGGGGGTGTTCATATAGTCCCTTCATTGTGGCCGGAGAGCACCCATGGCTCAAAATGTGCGACACCGGTCGGGAGCTAGAAAGCTAGCACGCGACACTGGTAGCCCACGTGCGAGAATAGAGTTGATCTTGAGGAGTGTTTAAACTGCTAAGTGGGTATAGGAGTAGTAGAAACGGGATGTGGTTCGGAGCACAGTAGCAGAGTCCTTGTACATCAGTTGAAGTACTCGTAGTGAGAGGTGCGGAAGATGCCGTAGTACCGGAGAGAGACCCAGGTTGAATACCATGGCTGTGGAGCATCTGGGGGCAGACCACGTGGGGGAGTTCCCTTCTTCTGGTTGGGTAAGTTATCTCGGCTTACAGGTAGATATGAGTAGCTGCCTGAGGACCTGCCGAGTCGTATCTCATTACTGCCGGAATCCTCAGGTGTCGACCCACTGCCACCGGGAACGCTACAGAGGCACAGTACATACAATACTCATACGGAATCTCCTACATAAAGGAGTCGCCCTGGAAGAAGAGACCTTGTCCAATGCTACGAACTTTTACTCCGATAGCCTTTGTCTGACCATCTGCAGCTCTCGTCAGTCGGTTCCATGCAAGTATGCTTTAGTGGTACGAGCGTTCCCACCCCAGTCCATTGTTAAAATAGACCGTCGTGTGATGAAGGGAAAGGTAGTGAGGATCTTTATATAATTCTTACTCGAATGACTCGAAGCTCATACTAACACTGTCTCTAGAAGTGTGAGGACTGGCAGAGTCTGAGGTGCCACAACATCACACCAGGGGGTCGGCCAGTGATATAGTGTTACATACATATGCAATCCCAGCACAACCTACCAAGTCTGAGTAGTCCTCCCACGTGCAAGACGAAAGCAACCAACAAAGAAAAGAAAAATCCCAGGAATGTTGCAAAGGAAATCTTAGACATCCATCCAGATGTCAAGTCACATCCAGCACAAATTCAACAGTACACAAGAAAGGTTAAGGAGAAAAACAAACTGCCGCCTTTTCCATTGCTATCATCAAAAGTTCTAAACCTTCCAGCATGTAAGCCATGTAAATACCTCTTTTTTGCACACTTTCCCCCGTCAAGAAAAAAAAGAATGTTACGTCAAGTAATGACTCCTCCAACTTCTTAAGAAAATTGTGAGGAGTCCAGAATCTTATACAAGAAAATGTAGGCAGAAACACATAAAAAAGTGATTCACCTAACAGAAGCGAACGCCCTCGGGGAAACTGCCCAAGATATAGTATTGCATGAGGAACTGAGGGCATGCGGTTGATGTCTCTGTGTCACCTCTCGCAGCCCACAATAGGAGCATTAAGAACCCCGTGTCCATGCCCCAGAAACGTGTGCTAATTCTCTAGGGGGTCTCTCAACAGGTACGATGCCCCGCTCTGCGTGCATCGTGCCGTAAGAGGCCGAAGAGGTAGGCCATGTGACAGGTGGCCGTGCCGTCGACAAGGGCATCATCTTCGAATCGGCCATCGAAGTCCTACTTGCTGCGGACCCATGTGCGGATTCCAGGCTTTCGCGAGTTGCCTCGGGTCCGTGCCAAGCTGCCTTTCGATCTTGATCAGGGGTTGTACGAAACGACGTGCGGAACGCATGCGGGGATGTTGGCCTCGTAGGCATCTGCCCTGCAGGTACCAGGCGAGTATAATGGTCACGGAAGAAGTCTCGCTCGGAGCGGTAGAAGTCGCGCTCCTGAGTCAATGTCCGAATCTCTTGTGTTTGTCTCTGCAGAGCCTCGGCTTGCTTTCTTATCTCGTCCTGCTGCGCAGTGATCTTCTGTTCCATTTGCATTTCGTTCCTCTTGCGATTGCGGAATCTTCTTGAGGCGTCACTGTTAGCCTTCCGCTTCTCCGCCTGCTGCGACGAGCCCGATTTCGTGTCGACGAAACACGGAATCATGCCAGGGGGTGGTGGCTCAGCCGACTCGTCCCCAGGCCGCGGTACTGCCCTGGCAGGAGGTAGCCGGCTCGCCGCATCCCCTGTCGTATATGAAGTATTTCCGAACGAAGGTGTGTGATGCGGCATGGGAGCCACTGCTATTGCCGGAGGCGATCGACCAAATTGACTGTAAGTTGATACCGGCGTTGTTGGACTGGTTTCCTGAGAACTCGGATGAGGGGTGTGGTTGCCACTCACTTGGCGGCTATGGAAAGTTGGAGTTGATTGCACCGAGACTGGGGCCAGGATTGGGGCTGAAGCCGGGTGAGGGGAGGTCGATACGGGGTGCCCTGGAACAGAGTCGATATATTGGGGCGAGCTGGGACCTCTGGAGTATGAGCTCAGGTGTGATGTTTGAGAGAGTGGAGACTGGGCCGGTCCAGCCTTCAAGCTCAAGCTACCCCCAAGAGGAGGGAACCGAGGTGATGGCGATGCAGGGGCTATAATCGGATGGCTCCTGATCCCGGGAGAGGAAAGTCGCTTAGCTGGATGTTGCGTTGGCGAGGGAAGGTGCACCGTCGGCGAGGACGGGTGTCGAGTGTGTGAAGATAATGATGCAGTCGACCGTCCTTCCCCATAACTTTCCCAGCCGTTTTCTGGTTTGGTGCTCGGCACCTTGGAGGGAGGATTAAGAATCGATTCCACGCCAATGGGACGAGACTGCCCAGTCGAAGTCAATGCATACCCCAACGGGTCAGATGATTGCCAGGAGAAAGGTCGCGAACGAACATGATCTGAGCTATCCGAGTCATCGTCCAGGCGAGGTCTTTTCCGTTCAAGCGAACCGCGACTCTCGGACGAACGAGCATCGCCTATGGAGGGAGCAGAAACAGGGGGCGACATGTGCTCCAAATCTCTCAGTACCGATTGTTGAGATGATCCTGGGCATAGCGGGGCTCCTCCTCTCTCCAGATGAGCTGGAGATTGACGAAGAGGAGCCTGAGAGAGGGAGCCGGTTGGTTGGGCGAGAGGAAAACCAGGCAGCGAATGATATTGGGACGAAGAATGCACCGGACTGGAGTATGGAAGATTGGCCAACACACTGAGTCCTAGGGTAGCCACGGTGACGGAAAGGCTGATTAGGAGCCCAAAAGAAGACGAGAAAAAGAAGGGAAGTATGGGCTGGGCTTGGGTGGTTGAGAAAGGAACACGGGCAGCGGATGCCGTGCGCAGTTGGGAATCCTTATACACCCAATCCTTTCGGTTCTTGCTCGTATCGCGTGAGAATGAATTGACCGCGTCAATAAACACTACAATATATTCTGTGCCCAGCAAGATTTACCCGATTGCCGCCGGATATCGTTGAAATCACCAATGTATGATGTGAGAGAACAAGAAAATCAAGTCGTCAATTGAGAATCGATACCCAGTATCTGTATAGTGGAGCCGAGTTATCAGATTTCAAGGCACGATTGATAGAAGAGGCAGTGAGAGAAGACAAGTTCGGTGAGTTAGACAACGTCTCGATCTCGGGCTTAGAGAGGAAGTGAGGAAAGAAGAAGTAGAAAGTAAGTTCTAATCACAAGGGGACCGCAAATGATAATGGTAGTGTTGAAGGCGGAGGAGGCGATAGTGATGGTAGTAGTAGGTTGGTAGGCAAGTAAGTGGGTTAGGTATGGTACTAATCCTAAATATTTTTTTCTCTTATGGGATTGATTTTATTTTATCTGATTATTGCTAACGGAACGGATCTGCTTCCCAGCACAAGCATAAGTGAGCTGTTGACAGCAGAGAAAGAAGTACAATCTTTTCGGCGGTGTGAAACGGAAGGCGATGTTTGGTAGTGAATAATAAATGGGGAATCAAAATAAGAACAGCAGCAGCAGCAGCAGCAAGCGGGTGTGGGACCCATGGATTTTAGTTAGTTTAATTAGTTTAAGAAAAAAAAAGAGAGGAACCCAGAGGCATGGGTTGGGGAATGAGGAGGGGGGCGAGGATCTTGGGTCGACGATGAACAACAAGTATGTAAGACACTTTGCGTTAGACAAAAGATTATTTTAATCAGGAAGAGAAAAGAAAATTAAAATTCAATCATCGATCAATTTAAATAGAAAAAGAAAAGAAGAGAAAACAAAAGAAAAGAGATTATGGCATCACACAAAGAGTGACGCACAGGCAGCTCACGCAGCTGGTAAGGGGGGAGAGAGAAAAGACCATTCGAGGTGGATTTTCCATGACTGCAAGCCTAACTTGGTCGGTCTGTCCCTACTACTACTTAGCGACATACATACATGCATGAATACATCCATCCATCCATACATACATACAGTACAGGCATACATACATACAACGTACATACAGCCTACATTACAGCACCTTTATATTTTTAATCTTTCTTCCACTCCTGTTCGGACTCCAGGAGCCATGCATCTAAATATACGTGGATCTTGATTATCCACCCGACTAGCTCTACCTCAATCTTGGGTAAATTAGACTACAGTAACTTACTTCCTTGAGAATCTTAAAGTCCCACGCCCAATTGAAGATCCATAAAAACAACTTGTGGTGGAGACCACGACACTTAGGTACATGCTCATACATATACAGAGTACAATCAACTCTCAGACAGTCAGACGTATTGTGCATGCATGCATGCATAGATACCTGTCTGGGACTTTTGTCTAGTCCGGGTGCAGTTCCAACGATCTAGTCTTCATCCGTCAAAAGTACTTGGTACCAAAGAGGGAGGAGAAGGAGGAGAGCGCCATCGTGATGGGTCTCGGGGAAGACGGATACCCTCCCTCGAAACTACTTAAGCGGTAAAAGCTGTTCCAAATTAGGAGGTAAGTATTGATTGTCAAGTGGGAAACTTGAAAGACCATGAAGACAAAAAACAGTGAAAAAAGAAAATATTAAGAAATAAAAAAAGGGTACTATCTAGGCTCCGAAAAGAACAGCATTACCAGAAGCTTCCAGGTTTGAACAAGGCCCCAGGCCTACTCTATCAGTACACTTACTGGGTATAGTGTACCTATGCTATACGTTGCCAGTAACTCAACTCAGGTTTCCTAAAAGTTACCTAGAAGGATATGTCGGTCGACCTATCGATTATCTGGCCATACCATTATCACCTTTTTTGCTAGGTGATTCATTTCCTCATCACACAAGCTATGTTGATTCATCCGGTTAACTTTGGGGCGAATACTTATGGGGCTCGGGATTGTAGTATTTCTTTCAGGATCCTTCAGCCTCTATGAAGTCCTGTCCGTCTTGAGAAAACGAATAACCCAAACAACTCCATCGTTCACTAGTGAGATCACTAGAGGCGGCTAACCATGGAATTGGGGATTGGGGAGATGCAGGTGAACCGGAAGCTTTTAGTATGGGCGCCGTCAATTTGGATCGGTGGAGGTCCCCGAGAGGTCGTGCTTCCCCTAGACTAGTTCAGCAGCAGCTTGAGGGGGGAACTTGCAAGATACCCGCTCGCTCAAGCTGTCGGTCGGGGTGGAAAGAGGTACAGGGCAGGTACCGACCGAGCGTGTGGGACTCGAGGGTAGCAATCAAGCGGTAAGTAATGTATGTCAGTACTATACTGTAATATATCCATCCGTATGATCATTTCACATACATAGCGGTAATCCAAAACATCTGCCGGTTGCCACTTACCGCCTGGGGGAGCACTGAGAGGAGTGGAGGAAGAGAAGGTCGACCCATTGGCAATCAACTACAGAATGGCCCTCGGAAGGATTTCGTCTTTAACATCCTGCCTGCCTCACGACGATCTCCAGACTTGTTTTTTGGTGTACGAACCCAGTCAGTTGCGATGATGGCATTTGGCCTGGCCCCCACTGAGTTTGCTGATGTCAATTGTCTCGTTCACCCCCAGCATTTCGGCCTCGATTGGTAACTAAATCTAATGAGGCAACGTTACAAGCATGGCTCTAATAGAATCATTGAGTCAAAACGACACAGATCACCGGATTAAGCGAGGTTGGCCATGTCAAAGCGATGAAGACAGAGTGTCTGCTGGACCGTACAGGCTGCTGCACTGGAAAGAAGTTGGTATAGATATAAACAGACACCCGGTACATACACTCGGGAGGATGACTTTCCTTCTGGGGCCCGAAGCCCTCGGTTGATATCCATGACTGCCGACTGAATGGCAAAGTTATGTTTAGTGAATGACTGGGCCGTACCACAATGACCAGCAACCATGGATAAAATGGGACATTACTCCCCCATCATTCATCCATGTCTATCTATCTCCTGAGTGAGGTAAGCTATCTATCTATCTATCTACCTCAAACATGACGGAGTAGGAAAAGGCCATCTGCTCCATCCTGCCAAAGAAAGCTAAAACAAGCCCGTCGTCTAGTTTGCAGCGGCAAATGGGGCGGACGAGCAGACTCTCTTCCATTCAGGTGGCAGATTTGTCCCGAATCACGATGTTTTGCATGCATGCGGGAAGAAAACATACTTTCCAAAGTTCAAGTTTCAATCACCTTTCAATCCTTCTTTCTGGGCAGCCGGGTCTAACCCCCGACCCCCCCCCTCTCAGTCCCCAATCAGTTCCCCCAATATTTGCTTTCCCCTCATCTCTTTCCGCCAGTGCGGATATCAGCCGGAGAAGGGTCAGTACCAGACTACCAGTACTCAATAGCTCGAACTATAAAAAAAACATGGAAGGACTCCATCAACTGTGGATAGTCACCAGAACTACGATGTCATCTGCTGATCCCCGTTGTTCACCCGGCCAGCTGTCTTGAGTTAAACTCGCGGACCGCATCCTTTGCCAGCCCGTGTGACTGGAATGGGGATAACGAGTAGTTAACCACTAGGTACTTTTTGGATGGCTCAGCTTTGGCTAACACCAAACATGAGTCGATTAAGCTGAGCCCGATACTAGGATTGGGATTGGTCAGGAACCTGGAATGGGAAAGTCTCGTCCGTTTAGGTTGATTGCACGCAGGCAGCAGAGCAGACAGGTCATCAAGCCTCTCGGATCATCCCTCTGGGGTCGACTTCTGAGTGGTCCACGCAGAGGACTGTTCTTGTATTCCTTCCGGCACCACTGCTGCTCAATTTTCGATACTTACACGGGAGACAGGAGTACGTATATGAAATCGGGCCAAAGCGAAGAGGAGGCG